TTCTGTGAGTTAATGTCCCTTGGTGTCCTGCAGTGGGAACATGACCACCATGCTCTTCATAGTCTCTTTGGGGCTGAGATGCTTCTCCCCTCTTGCAGTGTTTTTTTCCCAATGCCAAGCCTCATCTCTCCTCACAGGTCCTATTAACCCATTTCTTTACACCATTTCTCTGTCTTTGCCTCAGCCTCCTCGATTCCCTGCTGGCTCTGCCTAAGCCCCRTGCTCTGGCTGTGAGCACAGCAGCACAATTCCCTTCTTTCCCCCTGAGTCACAAATCCAGATCCAGAGTTAATGTGCCCTCCCTGGAGACCCACTGCCAGAAAAGGACTTTCGTATTCTGGTTTGGGACTTTTGTGGGGGTAAAGCTCATCCCTGCAAAGCAGCCTTTTAGCCATTTCTCTCAGAGTTTCTTTCCATGTTGGCTTTCTTCTCCGCTGTGTATTTGCATGCACATAGCTTCCAAGGATTTTATCTTCTCTGGTTTTGAGTTCATTTCTCTAGTTTCCAGATCACTTGTACTCCCAGTGTGTTCCTGTCCTCCTGGCTTGTCCCTTCTCAAGTTTTCATGGCAATTTCTGCTCTTTGGCTGGTTGTTCCCTTTTCCTCCTCATGGGACTTTGTCTTGGCATTAGTGGCATGAAATAGTCCATGCTTTGCCTCCTTCTGAACACAGCCTGTAGGACAGGATAGGGAGCAAAAGAAATGCAGTGATGATCCACCTTTGTGCTCCAGCTGTGACCTCTCAATCCAAAGAATGGCTCTCCATCTTCCTCGAGTGTTCTTCCTGCACAGGAGCCCTGGGGTGAGACTTTCTTTGTGAAACATGCAGGAGATGAGCTCTCCTGGAGCCAGGTCCTGCCTGGCCCAACAGGCTGTCATTTCAGGGAGGGGCACATGTGACAGGACGCCCTCATGGCCCTGCAGGTGAGGGGCTCTCCATCTGCACCTAGAAACCACACTCTGCAGTGGCACAGCCCCTCCCAACAMYGGCCTGATGTGCTGTGCTTGGCACTGGCTGGAAGGGTCCATCTTATCCAGGGTCTTCAGCACCATTGCCACGAGTTCCTGGCTTTTGCCATGCAGGACTCCCCTTTAGGCCTCACAGTGCCTGAACTCTCAGCACAGAAGCAGGACAAGGAGCAGATTTCCTGCCTTCCCTCCTGCAGACCAGGGCCATCCCAGCACAGGGGAATAGGTCTGCAGCGGTCAAGGCAGCYGAAGGTGCACAGCCCTTGGAGGACAGAGCTGAGCAGCAAATCCCTCTGCTGGGTGTCCACTCCTGGGGTCAGTCTGCTGTGAGCAGCAGCCGCTGCCAGGCCTGGACACGGCCCTCTCGCCTTGGCTGTAGGAAGAATGCAGGATTCCATGGAGGACTGATGCCCATGGGAACAGAGCAGGAGGAGAAAAAGGGTGATTGATGCTGGGMRTTTGGGATGAATCAGGAACYGGGAGAGTCCATCTCCATGTCCCTCTGAGCCCTGAGATCCCAGGTCCTGGACCTCATCCTTCCCTGCAAAGCTTGACAAGGCCGTGCTGGAGGGTAACCCGTCTCCACTTCTGGAGCCCTGGGGTCCTGAATAATGTGAAGGATGGAGCCTGTATTGTAATCCTTGGGAAGGCAGAAGGACAGCAGGGCTGGAACAATCTCCCACAGCAATGAGAGCCATTGTCCCCAAATTCCTGAAGCTGCAGCATCAAATGCCTGCTGGAGGAAACCCCACCCTGAGGACAACTGGGATGCCAGAAGTTACACACAGAGGATTTTTGAGATTGGGGTGAATGCTGGAGCCTGCATCCCCACTCTGCTGAGAGGGAATATTGTGTGGAGGCCAGATGGTCAGGCAGGGGGTGAGTACCATCCCTCCCTTGGCTGGTCTGAGCAGTTCTGGTTCAGCCTCTCTTCTTGTGAAGGGGGTCCATCCCAAAGATGCTCCATTTGCCTTGTCCAGGCCTAGGAAACTTCCCTCAGCTACTCCCACCTGGCAAACTGTGGCTTTGCAATGAGATTGGCTTTTTCCTGTGGCTCATCAGGACTCACAGTCAGTGGTGTGGTCAGCTGCCCDGGGAACAGCCAGCAGGGAACAATCCAGAATTGTCCCCATGCCTTCCATGCCTTTGGTTCATTTCTGAGCAGGAGCACAATTGCTCTTCTTTATGGTTGGAATTTTTCCAGCTTTACCCTTCCCTCTTCATGTTGGTCATATGGCCTGGACAGCAGSAAGTGATAAWACAGGATTGAGAATGCAAACAGCTCTGTGAATGGAATACCTGGAACTAACTGAGGGGGCATTGTCCCTGAAACCACTGCTTCTCTGTTWGAGAAGAACATGACCAGCAGCTTAACAGTAACCAGGACTCTYGGGAAAGGCTTCTGAGATGGAGAAGGAACAGTCTGRAAACAAAGTTTGGAAGAATGAAGAACACTGCAACAGAGAGGGGAGAGAGAAGTGGGAAGGATGTGGKTGTGGACCTGAGCGTGCTCTGCAGCTCGGCCACCTCTGACTGACAGAAGGTCCCTGGAGCTGAGTGCCATGGGTGACCTCGCTCCTGGCAGTGAGGGGTGCAGCAGGCACAGACCCACAGTCCTGCAGTGTGACAAYGTCCCCTTGTGCTTTGTCCCTGGCCTGTGGGTTCATGGGCTGTAGGAAGAGGTGTGGATACATGTGAACCCTAMATCTCCAGTGGGCAGTGTGTGGGACCAGGGGAACCCCTGCTCCYAYAAAGGRGATGKGTTCTTGCAGCTGCACTTCCTGGGTGGTGGTGGGTGCCTGGAGGTTGCACAAGTCRTGTGAATGTGTTTTGATGTGGGGTGAGAGCTTTGGAACATCTTACATGAAGGTGTTTAGAAATGTAGGGCCTGACCCTGCCTGCAGCCTGAGCGGATTCCTCCCAGAATGAGAGGATCTCTTCTACAGAGAGCTCAGGCTTGTCCTCACTTGTGAGCAGTTCTGTGCCCTGATCTTGTGATGCTTCAGCTGAAATCCCTGTGCTGTTGCTAGGAACTCTCCCATTCCTGTGYCASTRCASCCATCMRGGCCTCTCCASAGGGACAAACCAGCTGATGGAACAAGAGCAAAGGCTGTGTTCCCATCTCAGTCCATTCAGAGTTCAGTGAGATCCAGAAGGGATTCTTTATCCTTGGGGACATCATTGGGGACATGATCCTGCAGGACTTTAATCCAAGTCTCCTTGAGAAATGCTACCACCACCAAGAATGGCTGCAGCTCTTTTAGGCTCAACTAAAGAAAACTTSATGATCTGTCATTCACAGGGACYCTGTCACCATCCAGTGATCCYGTTTGTCCTCCAGCTCCACGATGCCAGGTCACATTGAACCCCTCTGCCCAAAGCTCCGCCTTCTCTTCCATTAGAATCAAACAAAAAGAGCGTTGACATGTTGTTTGTTGTGCTCTGGGTTTCTGGGCTCAGTTTGCACATGGGCATTGCCCAGCCTGAGTCACAGATGTGCCTTCCTGTCATTTTTGGTTCCCCTCTGCAGGCTGTGGTCAATGGGTTTAGCCCTTTGCTAGCGAATGCCAAATTTACCTGGCAGTGTGTGTGTTTTAACACACCCATGGAAACTCAGCAGGACAGAGCAACAGCAGAGAGGGAAGGCYGTGCATGTCCTGTGAAACTGCCTCAGTCTGTGCAAAGGGAGACTGTGCTGCAGTGATGCTCCTCTTCATGTGTTTTCCTTTGCTTCTGTGAATTTTTCTGTTGCAATGAGCATCTCACGAAATGTCCAGACAGAGAAATGATGAACGTTCCTCCATTCCCACGTACTGTGGGGTACACCCAGGATATGTTTTTTTCAGCATATCAGATTAGAGCCTGTGAGGGCTCCTGACCAGTGTGGGAGGTGCTCTGTGCTGGAGGAAGGCTCTGCTTGTGGCCACACTGGTAACAGGGACCCTTGGAGAAGAGWGATCCTGTGCTAGAGATGATGAATCACCAAGAGAGAGTCACTCCTGGAACTGCAGGTAACCCCCAAGCCTTCCTTCCTTTCTGTCCTCCTGTCAGAGGAGTTGGGGGAAATGCAGGGCTGGGATGGATGCTGGGCATGGCACGGTGGCCAGGCTGGTGCCAGGAGATGGGGCTTGGGGCAAGAGCAAAGGAACAGATGAGGGAAGTGGGGAATGCCCAGGCTGKCAGAATGCCCTTCTTCCTGGAGCCAGGGGGAATGGAAGTCCAGGCAGACCATGTTGTGCTATTGCCCTCAGTGGTTTTTCTGTGAATAATGGGATTAAGGGAGCTGTCCTCCTCTGATTCCCCTGGTGAAGCTGTCTGCATCCAGCTGAGCACAAGTCCCTGCTCTCATCTCTGGTGTCGTGAGGGACAACCCAGCCAGGGCTCTCCCAAGGGTTCCCAAGTGCCTTTCCCCCATGGAAACAATCCCTGGTGTGTGTCTGGCTGTGCACACTCGGAGCTGGGCGGTCACTCCTGTGGGTGACAGTGCCACTGCAGAGAGGGGCTCAGGGTACAGAGGCAAAATACAGGTAGTGAGAGAGGGAAGCTCTAAAGAGAGAGGAAGAGGAGGGAGATCCAGAAAGAGCCTTCAGGGCTACTGGAGGGCAACCAGGAAGATGTGTTGAGGAGAAAGGAGATCTGACAGGACAAAGDGGGAYTKGGGTTTGGGCAGAATACAGRCAGGTCCTRTGACAAACAGGGAAGGCAAAAAGCAGCCTCAAGGCAGCAGCCCCTGTGTTGCTGTGCTCTGTGGGTCTGAGCCAGTGCTGGTGACGGGCAGCAGGACCTGCTTCCAGCCCCACTGGGGCTCCCCAGTCCTTGGCACAAGGTACCAGCAGGGTGTTGGGGTATGGAGCCCCCTGGGTTATCCTGTTCCCAACTCAGAATCAGGACATTCCCACTCTTGCTTTGTGTTTTTCAGACCCAGCAGAAAAGAGAAAGTGCTCCTGGCTGAATATCTGGGTTTTCCTTAGTTTTGCTGTCGCTATCAAAACTGCCTTTGTGACCATCTGCCTTGGTGAGTTCCAAGATCTCTTAAATCCCTCGGGATGAAGGGCTCAAATTTGACTGCCTTTTGTCAGRTGGGAAACCCACATCCTCTGCTGGCAGGGAAATACCCTTCTCCAGAACAGGCCTCTCTACCCTTATCAGCTTGTCCCTTTTTCCCTTTCCTGACCCTATCCTCAGAGGATTTCTAATCTGCCTTTTTTTGGCTGGTAAAATAATCTCTCAGCCAGCAGAGGTGAGTGGAGCTCATTCGAGGGAAGGAGTGACTGCTGGCGGGAGAAGTGGCCTGCTGTTCTCACCTCCTTGCTCAATCCAGATTTCAGAGATGATTGTTAATATTGGGGTTCTAAGCCATAATGTGGAGGATAACACAGTTTTCTCATGCATGAGGTGGAAAGGATGACAGCAGCTCTTTCTTCTCTCTCCTCTCTTCTCAGTGGCTTTACTCAATGGAAGCTATGGCCAGTACAAGACTTTCCTCCAGAACTCTACAGAGTGGCACTGTGTCCCCAGAAGTTCTGCTGACAAAAGTGAGTGATGCTGAAAGCCTCATAAGCAACACAAAGAACTTCACCAAAATTTAGTCTGGTTTCCCCATAACCTTGGAGGCTGGGAATATCATTGTCAGTCACAAATGGATTGTTTTAAGGAAAGAATCTGGGGAATTGAGGGAAGAAGATACTCCATTGTACATTTTTTATTTAGGATGCTATGAACACATGTTCCAGACTAGGGGAAGAGGGTGGGTTGTGCCACATCTGCATTTGACCAACATTTCTACTCTTCCCCACACACAACCCCTCAAAAGTAAGTCTGGTCTACTGATGTAGATGAAAATGCTTCATCTTTTATACAGGCTAGTTCAATCTGTCTCCACTCCCTGTGCTGGCTCACTSCCTATGCACAGAAGCACCATGGTCAGTGTGAGGGACAGAGGAGGGAGGAGGATGCTCAGTAATTCAGAATAACTGGAGAGCTGAGCTGCAATCACACATGAAGTGAGGATAATGTGGAGTGCTGGAATGCCTGCAGTGCACTTCTTAAAACTCAGGTCAGAGATGTGTTCACATGCAGTCTCATGTTTTGTGAGAATATATCTGTGGCTTTTTAATCCATCATTTGACTTTCTGGGCATAAGACAGATCTTGGGGATAACCTGGTTGTGTAAGGAACTGCCTGTGGTGGCAGCAAGGCTATCAGAACAGTTTGCTCTAAAGGCTCTCAGTGTGCATGAGCTGAGAGCTTGGAAAACACTTCCCTGATGGAAGGGTTTCCAGAGGACCATTAGCCAACAATCTCCCTCTTGCTTCCTTGGGAAGGGTAAGGCAGAAATGCTGTCTCTCACCATAGAGAGGTTGCATGGACATGGCAGGACAAATAGAGAGAGGGAAAGGCCCTTCAGGCAGGRGCCCTGTGACAGGAGCCTGCCAGGCTGTTGACAGCTTTACTTGTGGAGGATGGAAGAGAGCATTTACCTCTGTCCGGACTAAAGGTGGGGTTCAAACCCCACCCTAAGCCCCTGGGACTCTACACTGACCTCACAGAGATAAAGGACAGCACATCTTGTTCAAAAGCAAGATTTTTTTTCCCCCCACAGCGGAAGGCTGGACGTGCTGCCCGAAGGGCTGGAAAAGATTTCAAAGAAGCTGCTATTTCCTGTCCCAAGATAAGATGATCTGGACTGAGAGTGAGCAGAACTGCACTGGGATGGGCTCCCAGCTGGTGGTGATCAACAGCAGGGCAGAGCAGGTACGTGCACRGGGCTGAGAGAGGGACCCAGCAGCCAGAGACTCAGTGCTGGGCCCTGGAGGGCACTCAGAGCCCCTCCTTGTCCTGCAGGGGAGGGGGAATGTCCTGTCTGCACCCCTGCAGCACCAGCTCCCCTCTGCCACCAGCCCCAYCCCACAGGGACTCCTGATGCCTCCCTGTGCTCAGTCCTGCCCCTCATGGACATTGTGCTTTTTTTTTCCAGGAGTTCCTTTTCAACTTGGCAAAAGAAAAAGTTACTAACGCCTATGAAACAAAATACTACATCGGCTTAGCTGCTTACGGAAATGGGCAATGGCAGTGGGTGGATCAGACTCCGTACGAAACAACAGCCACGTGAGTATCCTGCTGGAGTGAGGAGGRTCCTGTAATTCATGCCCTCAGTCCAAGTGACTGTATAAGACCCATATTTGTCAGAGGGAGATTTCTGTCTTCAACTCTTCTGCAAGTCAGAAAACTTTAGTTTTGTAGTCAAAATTATGGCTCCTAATTTTTGTCACAGCAACTTTCCCTTTCTCTTCCACAACTATTTCGGGTGACTCCACATCCACTGTCATGCATGCTAGTGCATTTCCAATAGAGGAACTTTCTTTTACAGGTTCTGGAAGCCTGGGGAGCCCAATTTACTCTTTGCAGAAAAATGYGCTGCAATTCATATAAAGGGAAACAGAGACCCAAACACTTACAGGAACTGGAATAATGTCCTTTGCTTCACAAGTTGCTATCGAATTTGTGAACTGCCAGTCAAACTTCTCTGAGGAAGGACATAAAATCTGAGCTCTGAAGGACCTCATTTCCCAGCCTGTACCCCTGCATCCCTTTACAAGCTGAAGATCAGTCCTGGATGAAATAGCTCGGGCTGATGTCAAGGATCTTCTGTGACCCTTTCCACTCTCCTTCTTCAGAGACAAGGATCTTAATTCTCCAGCATTGACCTTGACTCCTGGTCCAGACAATATCTCAGTGATGTGGTAAAGGCTATCACTRTTTTGTGAAAGGATACTGGTCCTTCAAATCACTGGAGCAGAATTTGAAAGAAGACAATTCAGTGGAGTGTCCTTGTCTCTCCTCTGAAGGGAAAAATTATTCATGGCTCATCTTTAATGTTTCCTTCTCCTTCATTGCATTCTGTGTTGTTAAGTAAAAAAAAAAAAAAAAAAAGAAAAAAAAAAAAAAAAAAAAAAAAAGAGGATTAATTAAATAAAAAAAAAAAAAAAAAAAAGATAATTCTGCTCTTTGCATGAGGCGTCTTCTGAGTGACATGTCCCAGATTCCCACAACCCAGACTCCCAGCACAGAGGTTTTAACTTTTCAGTTTATTTGGTCAATGGGAGTATTCTTGTGAGTGTACTGGGCTGGCCAGAAGCAGGAACAGCGTAATGTTCATCTGCAGAAYGTGTGAGGAAGAATTCATTCTTCTGGAGAATGAACATTCTGGAGATTCATATGTGAGGGCAGCAACAGAGCAGGCTATGTAGTATTCAGTGCCAGCTACTGTTTGCCCAGGATGTAGCAGAAAGGAGATGGATTTTGGAGATTCTGCTGAGAAGTGTGACAGGATGAGGCATGGCAATGAAGGGAAAAGAAAGCAAATGAATATTACAAGAAGTGTGAAAGCCAGAGTCCCCCCAAAGGAGAAATTTCCAATGTGAGGTAAGGTTGGAACACCCCTATCAGAGGCATCACTGCAAATCAGATRCACACAAGTCTTGAGCAAGATCTCTGCTTCCCTAAAATTTCCAAAACCCCCATCTGTATGTTCCTCCCTTTTGTCAATGATATCCATACTCTTTGAAAAGCTGGGAGTTTCCAGTTTGAGACTGAAAATACAACCTAAAAAATCATTTATGCATGATTTTTTTCATCAGAAGTTGGAGTATAAATTTTTGTCACTTCTACCTGAAGAGGTGTATTTGCCAGGTTTCTGGTTTAGCCATTGGACCAAAAGCTTGACTGTTGCAAAGTGTTGGCCTTGTACTTTCTAAAGTTGCTAGATGCTTTCACAGYRGAGAAAAGTATTTTGTCTTGTYCAACACGACAACAAACCCAAACATTGAAACGGACTTCTCCTTTTGGTTTCCCCCAACTCACTTCTGGAAATTACRGCAACAGGGTTTTGAGGAAGAAACAAMGGCAGATAAGACTCACAATGACCAATAGTTTACAAGAGGTTTTAGGCGCAGCTGCAGTTCTGGCTCCTGGAAGGTTTGTGGGGCAGAGCAAAACTCACACCAGGAGATTGGTTTGCAAGMAAATCCCCTCTTCTATGCAGATTTGGCTGAAAGAGGTGACTATCTCCACCATACAAGAATCAGCCTTTACCTCTCAAGTCTGGCTTGRTCCAGGAGGCAGCAGATGTCATAGCACAAGGCAGAGGTGAAGATGTACAGTCAGGTACAGCAGTTTCAGAAAGCTTCAGGAGGATAATCCTGCATACTGAGCCCAGAAGCTGGGTGAGGAGGACAAAAAGTTTGTCAGAATAGCATTCTTTATGATGACACTTGCAGTCCCTGTTCTCAGGTGGACATCCAAGCCACATCCCAGCTGCCTCTCAGAACAAGACCTGTATGTTCACCACTCCTTGGCACATTAACTTTTGCTTTGGAAAGGAACTCAGGTCTGAGGAAAGGAGCCACAGTAACATTCAATTCTGAGAATACACATACCTTAGAGTGTGGGTACTCTGCAGTATCAAAATTCTGTTGTTGTTCTCASTTGAGCTAGCTTTTGGTTTTTCTCCAGAAAGTTTATGATGCCCAGTCTCTGAGATGCTGGAAAACATCATTAGAGCCATGTTGGAAGGACATCCAGTGTTGATTCTTATGGTCAGTGTTGAGTCTTCCTTTATAGGATACACCTGACTTTCTCTAATAAATGATKAYCTTTGMCAAGCCAAGTGATGAAATAAAGTKAAATGTATGTGCTTTTCATGACAGYTACTATCTTTTTRTAAGAMCTTTTATATAAAATTTTCCTCCAAGGGTATATGTTCTTTTTTTAGACAAAGCAGAGAATTACCCTCCTACTCTTTCTCTCTTTTATCCCACCTCAGATTCTTTCAAGTTCCCTTACAACATTTATTTCTTCATTTCTTTTTTTTTTTTTTCACTCTTGCTATCTCTCATACTGTTTCCCTCTTTAATCCTTTTTTTTTCCTTCTAAATTTTGTTTCCTTTTACCTTTTCTTGCTAGATCACAGATGAAGAGCCTACAATGTTGTTTGGGGCAAATAAAAGAGAGAAATGGCATTTAAAGGGGTTCTGACACTGGACACACATTTGCTCTGTGTTTTAAAATTTGGTGTTCCTTAAATGATTTCCTAAGCAGTCTTGTGTAAGGTATTAGTAGCAATCCGGGTACTGTTTGCCTTGCAAGGTTCTTGCTGTCCAAGAGATCCACAACCYTCACTTCAGTTGTCCAGTTCATGCTGGTTACCCATTGTTTATCTCACACTAAGACAAATCCTATGATTTAAGCCTTTATGTCTCTACCTGGTTAGAAGGAAATACAAACACTTTTTTATTTTATATGCAGTCAACATACCTGAGCAAGCTTTTTCACATTGTGCTGTGTAATTATAAATCATTTATCTTGACAGGTTTTTGGACAATCTGCTGTTTTCCTGGAAATGCCTCAGCTGATTTTGAGGTCCAGCACTTCAGCACCATCTCCTGCTCACAGCACCTGCCACTCTCTGAGTTTTACTGTGATCTACATTCATGTGATCAGAAGGAGATGCAGAGARCCTCTGACTGTCACTGCAGTCCCACCCCTCGTGGTGCATCAATGACCTTACAGCAAGTAAGAATTCTGTAACATTCACTAGAAAAAGAAAACACAGTCATGGGACCAGCAATTGCTTGGSTCAGGATCTCAAAATGCATTATAAAAATTGACTTGTGCTGTAGTTCATGTTTCAACATAGGGAAAATTCAGTCTAGCATTTAAGGACAGGACATTGATTTGATTATTTAGATTGGAGATCAAAATAGACCACTGTAAACACACTCCAGTGCTGTTGACATTGACATTCAGTTCTGTAAGGTGAGCCATCTGCTCTCTTAGGTCCTCAGACAGAGTAAGTTGCCACAATTTTACATTCACGAGATGTCTGCAAATTTGCTCTAGCTGAGGATCAAGGAGGTAAGTTCACTGCCTGAACCTCTTTTGCTTCTGACATGAACTAAAGCAGCTGTTTCTCACTACAGTTGCCAACTCTGAAAGCAGAGCATGAAGRCAACACCTTTCAGAACATTAAACACAGACCAAGGCCTTTCCTGTGCTGTTGATCAAGGTCTTCCTTTAAACTATCATTCTCATTTCTCTTTGCTATAGCCATAATTTCACCTAAGTTCTTCCATTTATTTCCAGCTTTATTATCTCCTAACATGTCTCTATGTTTTTAAAGTATTTTTATTAAAAAAATAAGTATCTTTATTGTTATTAAARATATTTTCCTCCCTGTTCCTACTCTCCTCCTAATGATTTTAATTAACAAACTTTTCCTGCCTGAAATTGGAGTCAGTCCAGAACAGAGACCATTTTGGAGATAAGGAAACAGAAAGTAAAAAATGGGAAGGGGTTGCTTTCTTTAATTGGTAATAAGACAGCCAGTGTTTCCCCTTCTGTGGTTAAAATTACTCCTGTTGGGGAAGGAATTGGTGGGACTCACACCAAAAAAGGCAGTCTTGGGAGGGAGCCAAGAACAAACTCTTCTATCACAGGCACAATGCAGAGATCCTTTTCRGATTCATTATAACACCATTCAGACACCATTTAAAACTATCATAGAGCACTGGCTTTGTGACAGACAATCACATTTTCATGAGTCAAAGCCTGCTTAGGAGATACATTGATTCATGGGATCATCTGACCAGCTGGGGAAAGAAACAGCCAGCTGCTGCCAAGGGTTTTCCTGGACTGGATATCCCCAGGCCTTAAAGAAAGGAGTCAAATTCCTCCTGACCAGACAAGGAAAGGTTTCTGCCTGCAGATTCAGTTTTGAGTCATTATCATCTAGGAGCTCAGGCATATTTTGTTGTTCAGAAAATATCTCAGTAAAGGCTTTCCATCCAAAGGCCTCTTGCAACTATGAATCATAAGTGACACAGCACAAAATACGTGTATGGAAGTTTAGCATTACTCTACCTGCATCCTTAGCAAAATCTTTTATAAAATACAGTTACTGATGTTTTTATTGTGCATTTTTCTTTATTCTTTGTAAGTGTAGCTACCCCAAAAATTCTAAATGCCTAATGAAGAACCAAAATAGCCCTTTAACATGATCAGATTATTCAACAAGCTCATCTTTCTAATATTCACACAAAACCAAAATTCAAGTACTTATATAAGTGTTTTTCATCCCAAAGGACAGGGCTGTGCTTACAGGTTTGATCCCAAGTTGTTTTTTTTTTTTTCCCAGTTGTTACAATTGTTCAAAACAAGATTGATAAAAAATATCAACTCACCTCTCCATGCTTATAAGTATGCATATGTAAAGTATCTCTGCATACTTACAATACATAAGACTCTCTTCTCTCAGGAAAAATGCAGTGTCCCCACCTTGAGACTCTGCACAGTTAATGTTTGTACTGTCAATGAACCCTGGTTGCTACTGAATGAAGTGTTGCACCACAAAACTGATAGACTGGCTTAAATGTATTATTAGGGGGGGGAAAAGGAGAAAGAAAAAAAATTCAGTGGTCAGGAGTCATTCTTGGTACTGCCCAAAGGCTGTGGTTTATTATTACATCCCAAATTGGTACACTTTACAAACCAATAACCCTTGCATTATTCTGAGATAGCAAATTACTCAAAACAAGCACATTTTCTGAGGACTGCTTCAAAAACTTTTCCCTGTAACCCTGATTGTCCCGCTGAAGTGTGCTACTCAGAGGCAAATCAGGAATGACTCATATTTATTTGTGGAATCCTGTGAGCTGGCACACATGCACGGTGTTGGAGACTAATAGTCAACAGAGAGAGACAATCTGGAGTAGGGATCCAGTGGYTGCAGAAAAAGAGGAAAAGGAAAGAAGTTTCCCTGGATTAAAATGATCAGTTTGCAAATCTGTTGCAAGCTTAATTTGCCTGCAGATCCATGGTATGACTTCCTCACTTGATTTCACATGTCCCTCGTGATTATGGGCCTGCCTGGCCACCCCTGGACAATGTCTGACCTTGATTACCATCACTGGACACAGCCCTGAGCCAGGGACTGATTTCTGTGCTTGACCTCAGACTTGCCTCATCCCTGAACGCTTGTGTGGCAATCTGGGCCCTGGATGTTGTGGCAGGTGTGCCCTTGCCTCACTCAGGTGTTGTGGCTGGTCCCCAGCTGTCCTGCTGGCTGTGTTACTGCAGCTGGCTCCTGGCCACCCAATCCTTGGGGAGCAGCTGCTTCCACTGTGCCCTGACAGCGTCTGTGAACTGGATTTTATTTTGTTCGTTTTGTGAAGGCAGATTCTTGTCAGCTTGTTTCAGTAAAGYAGCTCTTTACTACTGATTATTGTTYCACAATTCACTTAAGCTTTGAGTAGAATTTGCTGCTGATGGCCACTGCTACTTCTTCACTGTAACTGTCATCACTTCCCTTCCAAGTTTGCTGTTTTTCATGCTTGTTTGTGAAAAATCTCTTTTTTTTCACAACAGACAAACTTACTACTTACTATCTTCCATGAGTTCTTCTGTATTGCTGACAACCATTACCAGCCTCAAAAGTCTTGTTCCAGTAGCTTTTCATAGGATTTTGCTATCTTTGGTTCTTTTTTCGTCAGCAATTTAACACTCTGAACTGGTTCCTTCCAGATCCAAAGCAGTGCAGGGGGTATACAGAGCCGTTCACATCTCTGAAATGGTGCTACACCCCACTTGCTTCAGCAGGTCTGACAGAAGCTGGAAGAGTTTTATACTTTGGATTCCACCACTGTGGAACAGTGCCCCTGATGGACAGTGCTGCCTGGATCTGCTGTGTCTGTGCAGAGGGCTGGTTACCTTAAAAGGAGCCACGTGAATTAATCCAGAAGCAAYTGATATGTAATCTCAGTACAATTGTTGCAGAGCCGCTGACAGATTACAATTTCCCTGTTAGATTCAGAGCCATACTAGGCCAGATGTAATGATTGATTAATAAAATCCTTCTGACATAAAGACATGCTTGAGAGCAGCAAATGCAGCATGGCAACAGAGCACCCATTTTTCATGGAATCACGAAATGGTTTGGGTTGAAAGGGACCTTCAGTGTCATGTAGTCTGATTCCTCTGCATYGAGCAAGGACAACTTTATCAGCTCATATTGCTCAGAGTCCCATCCAACCTGATCCTGAATGTTTCCAGGGATGGGGCATCTACCACCTCTGGCTCTGGGTGACCTGTGCCAGTGTTTACACTTGAGCCAGCCTCTCTTGAGTCAGCTCTACTTGACCAACAGCAGATACACCACACGAGTCAAGCTGCTAGAGCTGTGAATTATAGAGTGGTGGCCTGCACAGCTGATGAATTTATCAATTCAAGTGGTAGAAAACACCACTAATGCTGCAGTCAAGTAGAGCTGAAAGTACCTGCCAATCCTACTGAGAAAAGTGCAATACTTGAAATATTAATTGAAAACAAGGCTGAGACTTGGTCCTTAGGAGCCTCTTTATTAGCCATAACAAACTCCAGTTCCAATGGCCTCATGAATAGTCTTTAAAGAGCACATTTCATAAATGACGGACAGCAAAATGCTGCTTACATCCAACTCTTCCCCCTATCACTGCCCTCACTTCCCCACTGATGGGAGCAATCCTATGTCTGCTAGTATCAGGGTCTTACAATACATCAGGCTGTCCATGTATCTGTTACATGCCTTAATTCAGGTTTCAAAATCTCCTTTTCCTGTCCTGTCTAAACCAACTATCTGTGTTTCCCTACTTTCTGCTGCAATTAGCATAAATTGACTCCCACAGTAACAAGATCMACACGACACAGTATACATGGCATTTGGTGGCCAGTCTGTCTCCCTTCACTGGGTTTTACAGTCTCAAATTGTGCAGCAGAATATGTTACTTTCACAAAGAAGCTCTTGACATTCACAGAAGATGATTACTCTCTCAAGAAGACTTCTTGAATATGGTGGAATTAATCTGCTGATTTGAGGATCTGCATGGTCTTGTGATAACGTTACTTCCTTGTGTATTTCCCTTACAAATATTCATAAGAGATAAAGACAAAATGTCCTAGTTATAACAAATGCCATGAGATATCTGGACATCTGCCACCATCCTTTCTGGCCTTGGARAAGTTGCTGGGATGGCTGCTGGCCTGGCAATTGCATTCATCATCTTGTTGCAGATGGGAAGCAGACTGTGGGTCGCCCACGGGGTGTACATCAGCAGCTGGTACTGATAGAATGACGTTCTTAGGGCCAGTTCAGCCCGGGGGGCCACAACTGACAGATGGCTCAGCACCAGGCAGAGATGTCAGTTCCCTCTAATTGAGCATTCAGGTGAAAAAAGGTARCCAATTTAAAAAGAACTTTCAAGTGTGAAGAAAGAGGAGAATCAGCACAGGTAAAGCCTTTTGCATGGCCTCAGAAACAATAAATTAATCTGGATGTAACTGTGTTTGAATCACAGGGAGATCATGGGATGCTGGCAAGGGGTCCACTCATCTTGGTGACCCCATGCCTGCTGCAAGTTAATGATATCATTTTTAATACTAAGCCACTTTAAAGGGTCTCAAACATGCTTATATTAGGATYATGGAAGGAGATTAATTCCTAAATGAAGGTCTTGTCAGTATACTTTCTGTGGTAAGAAATGCTAAGTTTAATGCAAAGACTTTCTTGGGGACATTACATGTTTTGACATCTTCTACACACATGACCACAAAAACCTTACCAAAACTCAACCCCCCCAGGAAAATACAGGCAGGCCATAAATACAGAAATGCCTCTTTACACCCCTGCTACAGTTAGGTTTTGGGACCACTTACCAAACCTGAAGAAAGGAGCCTGCACAGCCTCTTTAATTGTGACTGATATCTGGCCTAACGTGCTTTCCTTTGGCACTGGGATTGATACATATGAGGCCACACCACAGACTAGAGACTTCCATGGTGGGTTTTTTCAACTTTGAACAACTTTAYCACCAAGACCACTTCTGTTTAGGTCATTTCTATTTAGGCCTTTTTTCACTGGGCATGGAGACGTGAAAATAGGACCACATACAAAACCTGCAAATCTGCAGCGATTTTTTTTATTACTGATACATAAAGAATAGGTTGGGACTAGTGAACTCTCAGGCTAAGCATTAACATGCTTCCCAGACCCCATAATAGCCRAGCAACTATGAAAGAGCTGGGAGTAACATTGTCCTTGAGACTGSTGCGGTGACTGCTCCACCTTGAAAACTTCCATTTCATCAGACAAAGGTTCTGGAGGAACTAAATCGACTCAGAATTACATTCCTCTCAAGGTGAAGAACCCTGAACAAAGCTTATTGATTATCTGACCCTTCAGAAGATTGCTTAGATGGTTACTGATCTGCTGATTCCTGCTGAAATTCTGTTGGGCTTGGTCTCCACTGGCATCAAGAAGCTGAAGAATCCAGCATAAATCTAAGCACATGGTGAGCTACCATGTAGCACACAGAGAGAAAAAAGAGGCCATAGCTATTATGAGAACCAAAATTTAGAKAGTTTTCCTTTATGGTCTGTAGGATCTCATTGGGTCCTGTTCCCAGATGGGTAGAGAAGACAGTTCCACAGACAGCTCTTTCTTGATAGGCCATCCCCAGGCTGTAAAGAACGGAGCCAAATTCTTATTCACTTGCTGAGAAAATTTCTTTGCCCACAAGTTCATCTTAGAAGCCTTGTCTTTTGGGATGGAGGACATTTTCTGGTAGTCAGAGAAGAGGTGGRTGAAGGGGTCCCAACCAAACCCTTCCTGCAACTGACAGAAAAGAATACAGAGTAAAAGCAATTAGTTATCATTTCACTGGCATTATTCCTGTGTTACAAACAATAGAAAATTCCACAGGTCTCTGCAGTGTCTTTTAGAATTAATGTAAATTTAGATGAAAGCATCCAACTTTCAGGCTTTGGAGCATAACTAACAGCAYTAAAGTACAGAAAAACACCTCCCCATTGCACTGTCGTCCCAAAACAGAGATCAAAGATACATTAGGAGTAGCCAGAAGTATCAGCAACCTACTATACAAGCAGCTGCTGTGGGGACAGTGAAAAAGCATCAGAGGGGTCACTGACAGAACACTAGAAAGAAGGAGCACAGGAGAGCAAGGARTATTGAGAAATCAGGAAGGAGAGATTATGAACAGGACATGCTTTGGCTAAGAAGAACAAAGAGGATTCATACAGAAAAAATACTGYTGTGGAATTTTGACTGTTCTTTCATGTCACATTTATTCTAGCAGTCCTGTTGGTAACAAGAAAGGAGGTGGGAGATCCCAGCCTACAAATATGAGGAAGTGAAGTAGTGGCCAAACTGGTAAGGCATTGTGGGGAAATTTCTCCTCTTAAAATTGTTTCACTCTGTATAAATATTTTGATATTTATTGCACAAAAAAAAGCCCGAGAAGTCGACTCTTCAGCTTGACAATTCAGATGCTTCTCTGGGATGTGGAAAAATCAGGATCAATACTCCTCCAATAAGTATTATTTTGCTGATATAAAGTGTGAGAGCTCCCAGACAAGGGGGTTGAGAGATGTGCACCTCACAACAGCCAGTAGCTTAAGCCGTCATAATGGACATCTGCTTCACAGTTCCCAGTTAAAATCAGGTTGAGTGCTCTCTCCATTAGGCTAATAGTTTCTAGGAGGATTAAGAGAAAAGGGGATATCTCTATTGCATGCTTCCCGAGAGAATGCACTTTAATCTAGGACAGGGTTCACATTTTAGAGTCTCGATCCAGTTCCATGTGCAGAAGGATAAGCTGAGCCCATCCTCTTGCCACCTGATGGACTATGCTGGCTCCACTCAGTGCACTGGATGACATGAACACCCTCCTCTTCGTAGGAGCTTGACCACATAACTCACCAGGAGACTGTTCAAAGCCTGGCTCTTCTAGACRCTTTACAGTGCCAAGGTTTTTTTGACAACTAGCCCAGTGTCCCACAGGGAATCTGCTGTGGATTAAAGAGCTGTGCCCAAGTTTGATCCTCCTTTTCCCACGCTGTATAACAAGCAGCAGTTCCTGTTTCTCTTCCAGGGAGAAACAGGAGAAACAGGGAGATAGCAGTAAGCTATCTCCCCGAGTGGCTAAGCCCAAGTCTGGCAAAGGAAAGGTTTTCAAGAGGCATCAGCCTGTTTACCTCCCAGGTGCTTTCTGGACCCAAAATGAACCCTGACAGCAATCAAACACTTAAAAGGCTTCACAGCCACAGTCAGCAGGCTGCAGATATCCCTCAGACTCWGGCTTCACTGACTGCACCAAGAACACAAACACTTCTCCCTGTTACCTGCAGGTATGTCTCCAGAGCTGTCCACACGCTCCAGTCCTTCAGCTGAGCGCCTTTCTTCAGATACTCCTTTATCCTTTGCTCCCGACACTCTGGCCTGAGTGCCTTATGGGCCTGATGCCTGGGAATGCCCAGAAYCTCCTCATGAACATAGACAGACCAGAGGTTGCATGTGGCCTCTGTGGTGTGAGGGGGAAACTCCCAAGCCTGCTGCTGTTGATTGTGTCCCAGCTCATGGATAGGACCCCAAAGGCCAGCAGTTTGCATATGGTTCACGTCTAACATCTCCTTCACTGATTCCAGGTGGCCCATGATGGGGTAGCCAGAATGCATCCAGCCTGCAGGGGAGASAGGTAACAACATATGTCATTAATTGCTCATCTCAGTGTTTCTTACACAAAAATTATTATTTTATTTCTTTTCATTTCACTTGTGCCTTTTCTCCATCTCACAAATAAAACTTTTTTTAATTACCATAGATGACCAACTTTTCCCCATGTGGTGTAAGGAAATACATCAAGTTTCACTTCAACAAATAGTCACTCTAACAAGAGTCAATCCAGTAAAGGCAGGACCACACTGCTTTCCCTTTTTATACATAAACATACACTCATGGTTGGACTGAGGCTGGGATTTTAGGATGAAAGAAAAGCCTGACCATCACCCAGAACACACCCAAACTGCCACACGCTAAGCACAGCTGACACCAACAGGACCAGGCAATAATGTGATTCAGCACCATGGCACTCCTTGAATGCTCCCGTGTGGAGCATGGGTACTGCAGGCCTGCAMTCCAGTGGGCAGTGGTGTGGATGARACCCATGGAAAACACAGTTTGTCATGCCTAAGGGCTGCAAAGCCTGCCATACTTAAGCCTGTTCTTAACCTTGCAGGATAGCTATTCTATAAATAACTTCCCAGCAGGCTGCTAGGCAAGAAACTTCAATGCAAGGGATTTTATGTCTCCTTGGTGTCTTTTTCCTTAATTGGACCTTCTTCTTGAAGATTCCCAAAACTTCACGCAAGAGCCATGCCCCCAAATTCAAACACCTGTTATAGCAGGGAATAAGCAGCCCTTTACACTCACCACAGAGAGAGCCTTGGAATGAACATGAATGGCAATCCCCTTTCTACAGGAACTAGATAACATGAACATGAATGGCCTGGAATTAGTTTCGGCAGGACTAGTTAAGAACCTGAGCTTCCTCTTTTTAAATAAGAGGGATACATGTAATTAGCAATCACTAKCACCAAAAAAGTTCAGATTTAGAAATGTGAGTGAAACCATTTAGTYCACCCAAGCCAGAAGAAATTTTATGTCTGTAGACCATGGTATTTTTAACTGGCATTTGCTCAGCATAGCAGAACTTAACACTCCCAAGATGTGCCACAAATTCTTTCCATTGTAGCTTAACAAAAGTTTAGGACATCAGGGTTCATGCTAAGCCCTTGTCTCATTGTGGGATGATGAATTTAACCAGTTTATTTTGAAAAACAATTGAGCAAAATTTTTATTGCCAAGTTCCATGTTTACCATATAATTTGATCCTAGATCAAAGGTACTCAGTTCATAACTGGAAAAGCTGGAGTGGGGGAACATCAGCTGCAAAAATACACACTCCCAGGCTTTGACAGCAATACTGCATCTACTTCCAYATTGCCATCATCTCAGGCACACATCTTCTCAGGCTAAGCTTTGCCCACAATAGCCTTTGTATAGCCCCCTCCAGCAAGCAGGCACACAGAGGTTTAAAAGTTGTCACTGAGCACATGAGAACAGTCCTGTGGCTGAGCCAGAGAAAAAATAGAAATCGGGTCACTGCTTCCCAGCTGTACTGGCTCTGCAGKGCATTCAGGAGGGAGAATGAGTAACTACTTGTGAGCTAAAGCCACTGCAGTCAGCAGCTCTGCATCTTAACACACCCCAACAGGAGAACAGCTGAGGAGACAACACCAGTTTTGAGAGCAGCAAGGCATCTGGAAAGGTCAGTATGTTTTTCAAGCCCTGCCTTACCACATTTCCACCCTGATGGAGTAGCTCACAATTATGCAAGGGTCACAGTTATTTAACACCTCACATATGTTCCCAGTCTGGTTTCAGAAAAGTAACCTTGAAGGAGCAGACACTGCTGCTAGAGGCCACTTGCCTCGTAGCCCTGGAKAAAGCCATATGGCAATGAACCTACCACATGAGATCTGGACATCTGTTACAATCCTCTCTGGCCTTGGGAATTTTGCTGGTATGGCTGCCAGCTTGCTTATGGCCACCATGATCTTGTTCCACAGGGTCAGCAGTGGCCGTGGGTCCTCCATGTGGCGGATGCTGTCAGATGGCACCGTCAGGATGAGATTCTCCACAGCCAGCTCTGCCCAGGGAGCAGGGTAGTGCCGGATACAGGCCTCCCACTGCCTTTCACAGCTCTCCCCTACAGCAACGACACAGAAAGTAAGTTAAACRCAGCTCTGACTTCTGAGAATGCTCACAGAGCTCAAGCTTGGAGAAAGAAATGACGATCCTGAAAATTTCTTGGAAACCAGTATGTRATAGTTGCGTGACTGAGGGTGGTGGCTGTTAAATAGCCAATCCTCAATCTGTTCTTGGGAGCTCCTCAGGCTCTTTAATAGGAAGAAAACAGAAAAGGACTGGCATACAGCAGAGCAGCATAGCAAGAAGAGGTCCCCATTTTCCATCAGAGAGAAGGAAGCATCGAGTTTCTCCAGAGTCTCATTTCTTCTTCTCCAGAAGAGATTTGCTGTCTCACATAACAACCCTGGTTCTGTTCAGTCTGACAGAAAGCAAGAAGAAATTGCAGCCAGGAGAAGSGAAACTGCTGGAAACACGGGAATTTCAGCAGAGATGTCTTGTAGGGACTAGAGATGGCCATATGGGGGCACAGTAAAGCAGGAAGAGCACAAAGCATTCTTTGCTGTGGCAGAGATCCGTTTTCCTCCCCCTAACGGAACGGTTTCCATCAGAAATAACAATTCCAATGAAATGTTGGTGTGGACAAACCCTGCCCATTTTGTGAAAGTTCTTTCACCTGCTTCCAGCCACATAGCAGGCTCAGAGTGACTGAGTGACTTAGCCTTAAGCGGAGGTTCATAGAATAGTTTGGATGGAAGGGATTTTAAAGGCCATCTGGTCCCACCTCCTTGCTAAGTGCAGGGACATCTTCAACTAGATCAGGCTGCTCAGAGCCTTGCCCAATCWGACCTTGAATGTTTCCAGGGATAAAGCATCCATCACCTCTTTGRGCAAGTTGTTTCAGTGTTCCACCACCCTCATTGTAAAAAAACTTCTTCCTTATACGTAGTCTGAATTGATCCTCYTTTAGTTTAAAAACATTGCCCCTTGCTCTATCACAAAAGGTCCTGCTAAAGGGTTTGTGCCCATCTTTCTTGGACTTGGCCTCGGTGAAGCTGTGCTGGCTGTCCCAAATCCATGTGCCTTAGCAYAGTATCTGGAAGGATTTGTTCCATGATCTTCCCAGGCACAGAGCTGAGGCTGACAGGTCAGTAGTGCCTGGGCACCTCCCTTCCCTTTTGAAAAATGAGCAGAAAAATGGGAATCCCAGAGGACAACACAGTAAGGAAAAGAAATGTGGATATTCCTAAATCCAATCATTTCAAAGACCTTCCTAAGCACAGGACCATCTTTACTTTCAGTCACTGGGACAGTAGCATTTGCGAGCAGCCCTAAGGCAAAAAGCACCGAGGTAAACAAACCTACCAAGCTTGAAGAAAGGAGCTCTGAYTGCCCCTTCCACCGTGATGGGCACGTTCCCCAGGACACTCTTTGCTGGTACCACGATGTAAATRAGGCCACCCCAGAGGCAGGAGATGGATTGTTTCTGGCAGGCAACATCGCAGGTGCGAATTACCACCGGTGCCCGTTTCAGCTCCTTGGCTTGAGAGAGATCATCCGAGTGACACCCAACCTGCACCTGCCAAGCAGAAGGGTAGGAACAGCTGGTCAAGGGTGTGCCAGTATGAGCTGGCAGACTGACCTCAGCACCCTGAGCTCTCTGCTGCAGCACTGTCCATGCAGAGCATGCACATGGAGTTTATAGCATGTGGTGATCAGAAGCAGTAAATACAGTTAATAAAAAGGTAAATTTAATTTTGTCCCTATCTCAGACAGTCTTACAGTTATACTCCCAATTATTATTGGCTCAACTACATCCTTCACCAGCAGGTCAGGGTACTGCAGTGACTTCTTCCACTGCACTGCACTTGCATTGATCATTTCTCCACCCTTCACCAGCATCGTAGTCACTTCCTGTAACATGATTTGGAGAGATGTGATCATGACTGGCCTCTTTTATTGTGCCTCTTCCTTGGAGCTCTTATGGTAAAACAGACAGTGTGTGGCTGCAGGAAGAGACAAAAGCACCTGAGGAAACCTTGCATTTCAGCTGCAGGGAGGGCATTGCATAAAATATCCCAGCAGGTAAGCATTTGTCTCTGTTGTATTTTGCACAAAACAGGATCCCAGGAAACAGTGCCTATCTGACCTGGAGACATCTGCATGAGCAGTAGTGACAGCACTGTCAAAAGAATTTCTGAGAGATCTGGAGAGGTGGAATCAAGTCTGGTTCATAGAAGGGCCCAAGTACTTATTTGGGTCTGAAAACCACCTTGATCAGTTCTCTTTGCACAATAACAGAACAAATACAACTGCCCTCACACTCTAATATCCCACCAGCACAGAACAGGAGGACTGCAAAAGAAGAGAGTGAGGACACAAGGTGAAAAAATTATGTCAAAGCATTTAAAGTGCCACAGGGTGGCAGCAGTAGGAAAGGACGGGARAGGTAGCAAAAGCCGCTCAGGAGAAAACCCTTCTCCGTGCTATTTTTGAGCGCTCASCCGACAAACACAGAGGTGTAAACCAACGCCAAGGAGAGAGAGAGAGCTCACCTTCAGACCTGCACCGACCACCAGGCAGGGGCACGTTACAACTGCTGTGTGCCCTTCGGGGAGGTAGAGTCCTGTGCTCCTCCAGGCTGTCTTYCCTGAAAGGTAAGACAACACAGTCYTAAAWWCAGTCAAGCACTTTGTCCTGACTATTACAGATCCTGGAGATTTCAAGTTGAAATAGAAGAATAAGCTTCTATCCTTTCCCTTCCCTTTGCTCTACACTCACAGAACCATCTTGCCTTTASCCAACCTGTCACAAATACAGTTTCAAAGAAATGAACAAAATAATCCCTCCATTAGCAAGCAAGCCCACTCAGATTTAAACTTCTGGAAATGCCAAGCTTAAATRTGCTTACTAGTATCTTCTAAAAATAAGGAAAGAAAACAAAAAAGGAAGCCAGAACGTCAACACCTCCTACACTCAGATCCTCTTATCCTAAAGCCCTCATAAAAAGTGCCAGCTATGGTGGTATTGCACATGGTTGAAGATGTAATGGTCGTAAAACATTTCCCATATAACAGACTGACAGTGGCATAGCATTTTTCCTTAGTAACTGGTCCAGAACGAAGTGGAGCCCACAGGAATTGTCATTTCTAGCTGACTGAAGTTATGAGAAAGCTTCAAAAGACCATTCTGTGCTAAGTATAACTGTAAGAGGGGTATCCCACCATACCACTACAACTCTGCATTTTTCTGGTCAGTGTTCCCAAGAAAGTGCAAGACTCCTCAGCATAAATGTCTTTTAAAAATTGCAATTTACAGGGCAAAACTGATCCATCTCTACTGTACTGATCGGGCAGATTCCACTCACTAGTTCTGACATGAAGGTTACTTAATCAYATTTCAATGCAAACACCAGAAATCTTAAAAAGAGCTGAACTGTCACAAAGCACCCAACTTACAACCTTTCCTGTCATCCAAGAAARCAGGACAGTTTTGTCAAGCAAAACCTAACCCAAGGAAAAATGCAAATTAGACTATATCACAATATTTTACCAGTTCRTCTCAGTTTTGCTGAATTTGCACCAAAGACAGTTTTCAAATGGTGCTCAGGGTTTGCTACATTTTCTTTCCTTTTTGTTTATGTGAAATGACACAAATTCAGAGTATTTCCTGCTTTTGTCCTGACATGTTAGTGCTAAAAACAGGGAGCAGTTATTCTACAACTCTTCTCTCTGCATAGCCACTGCACTCAGACATTGCAATTCCAGAACAGCCTCCTTTATATCATTAGAACAATTTGGAAACAACTCCTCTAAATCATATTCTAATAAAAAAAAAAAAAAAATCTGCCCAGGGGATAAAGCTTACTARTGGAATTTAACCCAGAGTTTGAACACATCAGTTGTGGGCAGGAATCTTAGCAAACTGGTACAGATACAAGGCCTAAGCTTAGACAAATCATTCATGGTGTAATTACTCAATACCTTGGCCTCAGGGGTGGTTCCCAAGAATTCCCACCGTTTTCAGCCTCTTGTTTTCACCCCCAAAAGCAGATCTTCCCTCCACTGCACTGATACACCAAGATGTGGGACTGTGTTATAGCTCAGGCTGAAATTATCCAGAGAACGAATAAACCTTTCGTTTCTGACTCCCACCTTTTTGTAGGATGGATCCATAAATGGCTGTATCAGCACAACTACGGCAAGAGCAACCTGCAATGTAGAGTCCAGGCTTTCTCAGAGAAGCTTTTGTGCCAAAGCCATTGTACCTTTGGTACCACTTGTTAGGGGTTCTTCTCCTGCCACCGCTTGTACCCCAACAGGGAGGAAGCAGACTTCCATGGGCTATTTCAGGGTGCTGAAATACAGGATCAGGGCTGGCCACAAAAGGAGCCTGTCTGCCACAGCCCTGAGGTCAGCATCCTCTCAAGCCCAGGATGAACTTGCACATCTGCTCCCATGTTCAGGCACACACAGACACAGGTACACTGAGAGCAGGCAYCCCACTGATCCCAGCATGAGAGGAAGAGAGAACACTCCTCACCTGGGTTTGTGCCATCAATTTCCACAGTGACAGGGAGGGCACAGACCTCAGCAGCCGCTTTGTGCACCAGGGCCGCGCTGTCGGTCATGGTTAAGGACAGCTCGGTGGCCATGCACAGCAGCACCGCCTCTTTGGAGTTGCTCTTGACGGGGCAGCGGCTGCTGACCTGCGGGATGCCGCTCCTCCGGAGCACTTTGGTCAGGATGCGGTGGAGCGAGGCGTACGCGGGGCAGTCGCGGGCCGGGATGCGCAGGAAKGCGGCACAGTCCTGAGTCAGCCGGGGCAGCCATCCCTTCAGGGGCTCCGTGAGCTCCCCGCACTCCTGCACCCGGGTGCTGAACAGCAGCAGCGCCCTGCGGAAATGGTAATGCTCGCCCGGCCCCACGGGACGKTGCTTGGCTGCCGGGCCGCTCTGCCCCAGGATGCTCAGCCCGAAGCGGTTCAGGATCCTGTTGCCGGGATATTCCGCCACAGCGGCTTTGCCAGAGTTCTGGGAAGCCCAGTACCAGGCCTGGCCTCCCACCAGCAGACCGCCTCCCTCTGCCACGAAAGCGTGGATCTTCTCRGCATCTCTGTCGCTGTAAGAAGAGCAGCAGTACACGCTGAGGTCACCTGCCAACTGTGACRCCTGTGTAGCTTGAGGTAGGAGGCTACACAGCTTCTGTAGCTTGGGATCCACCCCCACCGGCCCCTTCCTCCCGGCATCCAGCCAGGACACGGCGTTGAGCAGGAATTTGGCCAGCTTTGGCGAGCACAGCTGGCTCTCGTGGGTGGCCASCACCAGGCGGCCGCGGCCGTAGCGTGCGGCGGCCAAGAAGCAGCGGAGGGAGCGGTCCAGGCACAGCGGGAAGGACAGAGCTCCGTGCAGCAGCAGCGTGGAGGGGGTGCCCCCCGTCACCAAATCCAGCTCCGACACCCCGCGCAGCAGAAACTCGGCGTCCAGGCTCAGGTTGGCATGATGCCTGTAGAGTCAAGAGAGGTTCACGTTAGCCCCCAGCTCAGAATACTTGGGTTTTAAAAAAAAATTATTTGTGTCACAGCTGGATACACATGACTTGAGGAGTTCTTTTTGTAATTTCACAGAATATTCTGYGTTGGRAAGGACCCACAAGGATCACTGATTCCAACTCTTAAGTGAATGGCCCATAGGAGGATCAAACCCACATCCTTGGCATAATCAGAACCATGTCTGACCAACTGAGCTCATCTCAGTGGTCATCTTTGCTTCTTCTTTCTCCTTTATCCCAGTACATCATGCTGTCACTTCTTTAATTAAAAAAAAAAAAATCCATCAATACTTCATTTTTTCTTCTTTTAAAGCCAGTTTTTACAGCCAAGCAAATCTGTAGGAATATCAGCACTCATTTAGAAAAAGGAAATAGGTCAAAAGGAAGTTTCTAGATCACTGGCTTTGAAGAGCCAYTTGAAAATCTAAAAACATTGCAGAAACTCAAATATCAGACCCTTCAAATTTTTTTTGAACTTCAGGTTTAAACTGCACATGATGTGGAAACTGGCGTATCTCTTTGAAGAGAAACTCACTCCGTTTGCCTCATCYTAGCCTTTATCAACTAGGCAAGCCCAAAAAACTCCTCTGTGCCTTTTTCCAGGCTCTGCCACTGTTGAGAACTGAAGAAATGAGTGCTAGGACAGATGGGTAACRTGGACAGGCAGACACACAGCTAGACAAATAGTGAGTGACTGGATGAATTAGAGCCTTAACACAGACACCTCACATTACCTCASGCTGTTGGTCTCCACAATAAAAAGAGATTAGGCTGTGCAAGCTCTCTKATCTCTGCTATTTCCATATAACTCCTATATATCACTGTGGAGAAAGACACACTGAATTACTCTCATTTGCTTTGTGTACGCTTTTCCCTGGTTCTGCCAAACAGTTTCACCCCAACCCCTGTGAAATATCTCTTGTTACGTGGCCATTGCAGCCAACTCAGTGAGAATAAATGATGCTGCTCTTCTTCATGCCCATAGGACAGAAATTAAATCTGTAGCTCTTCTTTGGTTATTACTTTACTGAGACCCTTTGTCACMCAGAGCATGTGCCCAGGCATATGGCACAGCCCCTGCCTCAGACCGGAGTCCAATTCTCTGCACACAAAGCTGGCAGGAAGACTCAGATGTACAAAGCTGCTGTGTTACACAGAAATTAGACATTTACATTTCTCTGTGGCTCTGTATTCAACCAAAATCCCCCAAAAAAGCAACCCAAACAAGGTGTAATTCACCCTTAGCTGCCATTTGAAGTCTTGATAATTGTGRTGTATTTTTTTCTGCAGAATTCCCCACCCCTCTCCCCCTTCCATGCTCTGTCCATGAAGCAATGGGAACATGCTTGTGCCATGCAGGTGGTAACAAGAAGCAACCAGCCAATTTTAATTAAGCAACTTGATTTGTGAGCTGTGTTCTAAGCTTTTCACAGAATTCAACAGCAGAGCTCTCTACTACCTTTACTGGTAAACAACAAAAAGTATCAAATTACATTAATTGTTTAAAAATATTAGAAATTCAGTATTCTCTATCCACAAGAAAAAGAAGGTGAAGGGAAGGTTTGCAGGGAATTTTACTGTTATGGCTTTCACTACAGTGGAATGAAGCTGCCACACAGAGGAAGTGCAGCAGCACTAATGCTCCTGGGAAAACCTGCTGTGCCTGGTGTAACTCAGCAGAAAGTGGCAGRAGAAAGAGCCTGGATAGTCACTGGCAAGGGCAGAAAGATGGCAGTGCAACATCCACGACTCCAGTGCCTGGTCAGCTGTGCAATGTGAGTCAGAACAGCTCCAAGTTTTACACCTGATAATCCTGGATCCAAAGGGCCAGGCTGGAATCCCAAACAAACCAGGAGCATAGAGATTTCCTGGCCACAGCCTGTGTCAGAAGCTGAGAAGGGAGGAGGCACCCAGCCTCAGGTCTGGCCAGCTCCAGGGTCTCACCTGCAGAAGTGAATTCCTGCAAGGAACAGGCTAAACAGGTTTAGCAGCTGACAGCCAGAACCTGGCCCAGAGGGCTGGCCTGCTGCTTCATCTCCAGCCTGGTGTTCAGCTGTGGGAAAGTTCCCTGAATGTAGAGATGTGYGGGGAGAGGGAGAGGAGTTCATCCTCCTGTCCCTTTTTTGCTGTATTTCTCTCAGGTACATTTGATCAGGCAGGCTGCTCTAAAAGATGTCTCCCCTCATTTCCTTCCCCTCAAATGCATTCCCTGGGCCTGGCACTGCTGCCCTGGAAGCAGCTGAAGACAGCATTCTTTCCAGCTACAAAGAGKGAGAAGGTGCCCCTTTAAATGAGAAGGCAGMGGTTGCATCCCATCCTGGCTATTARAGAACCAGCATTCACCCTCATCCTCACCTCTCACCTCCCAAATCTTCCACAGACAACTCACCTGCATCACCTGATCAGTGATTTWAAGAGAGGGCAATTCAGATACTCACGGGACAACTAATGGGATCTTGGGAACCTTCTTGGCAACTTTGAAGAYGCCTTTTTCCACTGCATTTCCCGTGAAGTACACACCCGCCACACTGGTCACCAGGTTCCCAGGGAATTCAAACAGCACTTTCTCCTTGCCATGGCGACTCGCCCAGTACCAGGCTTGGCCTCCAACGAGCAGCCCTCCACCTGCTTTGACAAAGTCCACGATGCCTTTGGCCTGGGAGCTGTCATAGGCGTCYATGCAGAACACCCCCAGGGACGGGCTGAGCTCTGCCCCCACCTGCACTTGGATGCCAGCCCCAAGCAGCACCTGCGACAGGGAATCCAGCCGAGGGTGAACCCCAACCAGGGCTTCGGGGCACTGCTTGAGCCACCCCACAGCATTTCTGAGGAACTGCGAGAACTTGGGGTCCTTTAGGATTCCTTCATGGGAAACGACCACCATCCGGCCCTTCCCATACTGTGAAACAGCGATCAGGACCTGCTTCTTGGCGCTCAGGAGCACGGGGTAGGCAGCCTCCCCAACGAGGAGCAGCTCACAGGGGACAAAACCTCCCGTGAAGTCCCATGGCCCGACACCATCCACTAACAGCTCRTAGGTGGCAGAGGGGTTCATCTCCAGGAGCTCCTGTCTGGCAGAGAGAAGAACAACATCCATTACAGTAAAGCTCGGCAATGAGGAACAGGTCTAAGAACTCCATAGAGCGATTTTTTTTGTTGTTGTAGTCTAGTAGGAGCTCCAAACAAAGAGGAGTCAGATTTATGGACACAACTTTYTTAGGGATTTGTTTTTTTTTTGTTGGGATTTTGTTATCACACTATTTACCATTTAAATAGAAGTGACAAGTATATCATTATTATGGAGACAAAGTGACTTTCAACAAATTCCATAGAGRAAAACAGGGAAATAAAGATATTTACTTTCCCGTTAACCATTTATTTGAAGAGAGAGAGAGTGCCRGAAGCTCCAGAAAGTCTACTAATAACCTGCATGGGAGAGATGATTTACACAGGAACAGCCAGAAAATTAGAAGTCTGTATCAACACAATAATTCACAGTATAATTCAAATAGGAGTTCACATTTTAGCTATTAATTGGATACGTACAGAGCTACACACAGTGGCTACAACATGGTATTCCAAAGTTGTATTTTTCTACCTCCATTTACGTACTGTAAGGCCTTTCTTAGTATTAGGAAGTGCTGTGWGGGGAAGGAGAATCAGCAAAAGTGGAGCTGACCAACTTCCCTGGAATAATTATCAGTTTAAGGCACACAGCACTCAGGCGAGCAAGCCTGGGCACAGGAGATTGATGCCCTAGTTCCCTGATCCAAACTGCTTCACAATCTCAAGAAAATAGCTACCCTTTCCCCTAGCTTTGTCTCATCTGTTTTGCAATCTCAGAAGTAAGGAGAGTGGTACTGACCTCGACTGCCAAGCCCTTTGAGGTCTGTGAGTGACACGTGCTGTTAAGGTTCCCTCAGTTTGCAGGTTTGGCTCAGCTTTTCCCCGAAGTTGCCTTCTGCTGAGCTGGAGCAGCTGTGGCTGTGCAAACAGGAAGGCTTTGTGAGSTATGAGAGTATCACCCAGTCCCACCCAGTTTGTGTCATTCGGGATTCAGAAGAGTTGACTTTGAGCACGACACCTCCGGCAAGGGAAGGAGCTGCTCCGAAGGGGTGTGGACCTTTCCCTGGCAGCATCACGTGCCAACACCAGGCTTCACACACACTTCAAATCTKGCTGCCCTGAAAGCAAATCCTTGTCACACAGACACAGGAAAATGGCAAGTCCTGGAGCAGCTGCATCCTTGATCTGCGTTTGTCACAAGCCCCAGGGTGCTTAGACACAACAACCTGAWCACGAATGGCAGYATTGCTTATCCTCTGGAYATGCCTGGAAGCTCTGTTTTTCACCAAAACYGTCATGGGACTCCACTGTTGTTTTKCATATGATTCGTGGGTAAAGCTGCTGATTAACTAGGATAAGAACTACACTTCTTAGGAACTTAGCTTGATTGCTGGCTTAGCCTGAATCCCTGCTTTGTGTCCCTGGGTTTGAAGAAGCCCTACATGTAAAGGCAAATAGGAGGTCTAAGTGCTTCATTTAGAGTGTTTTATTGCRAATCATGCAGCAAAGTAGTAACACAGCCTTGGAAAACACTGAAGGGTTTTTTGGTGATTTCTGTGGATTTGATAGTAATGTACCTTTACTGGCACACTGACCATGATGCAGGGCAGAGGAAAAGCAGGTGGATAGTTTCAGCAACTCATATTAAATGATAGAATCACAGAACTACTGAATGGTTGGGTTGGAAGGGACTTAAAAGAACATCTAGTTTCAAACCTTTTGCCACGGGCAGGGATACTTCCACTAGACCAGATGYTCCAAGCCCCATCCATCCTGGCCTTGAACACTTCCAGGGATGGAGCATCCACAACTTCTCTGGACAACCTGTGCCAGTGTCTTACCATCTTTGGTAGAGAATTTCTTCTTAACATCTAATTTAAACCTGCCCTCTTTCAAGCCATTCCCCCTTGACCTGTCAYTACATGCCCTCACAACAAATCCCTCTCCAGCTCTCTTGGAAGGGATTCTAAGGTGTCCTTGAAGCCTTCTCCAGGCTGAACAACCCAAACAACCCCAACTCTCTCAGCTTCAGGTGCTCCAGCTCTCTGATCATCTTGGTGGCCTCCTCTGGACTTGTTTCAAGAGGTCTATTGTCTTCCTTGTACTAGGAGCCACAGAGCTGGATGCAGCATTCCAGGTGGGGTCTCAYGAGTACAGAGCAGAGGGGCAGAATCCCTCCCCTTGCCCTGCTGCCCACGCTACTTTGGATGCAGCCCAGGGCACGGTTGGTTTTCTGAGCTGTGAATGCACATTGCCAGGTCATGCTGAACTTGTGTCAAACCAACACCCTAATGTCGTGCTTGGCAGGGCTTTTTTCAATTAATTCTCCACCCAGCCTGTATTTGTGCTTAYGACTGTCCCTCAGTTATTCGATAGGAGGACAAGTCACAGGTCTAGGTCTGATGTAAGCTCAGCCCCCACCTCTCTTCCTATCACAGGATCTGAAAGCCAACATCCTACACTCTCGGCCTAGGAACACTGCTGCTTCCTGGCATTCATCCAGAACAAGGTGTGGCTGTCTCAGAAAGGATTTTAACTCTCTTAGGTGAAAGCAATTGTGACCATTCCTAATTCCTCTGTAATGGCAATTTCTCCATTTCAATTGTATTAAGCATTTCACACTGGAGAGAAGAAAGGAAGAGCACACGTTAGACCCAGAGCAGACCCAACTACAGATGATCTCCTCTTTCTAGAGAGAGAAGGGAGAAAAGTCAGCAGGGACAGAGAACATAAAAGTCTAACAAGAGTTGAAGGAAGCTGCAGAAGACTGAGCTGGATGTCTCTCATGTCAGTCAGGAGGAAACAGCCACTGGAGCTGGGCTCACACAGAAGGACGAGGAAGATCTTGGCTCCTGGCTGCCTTCCTTCTTAATGTGGAAGTAACAATTCTCCATGACAGTGTCTTGATTCCTTGTCTTCCCTCCTGCCCCAGGGAGTTCCCACTCCCTGCAGAGCTGAAAATATTGAGAGTAGGTATTGGAACACATATTTATAAACCCTGCCAGATGACTAATTCTCTCCTAGCCTTTCTTCTGTCCCTGGAAAAGGGACAAAAATGTGATGTGATGGGTTTCATTAAATGCAGACTTAAGATTCCATCATCTGCTGTCCAAAAGCCATCACAGGCAAGAGAGATGTGGTACAAAGGAAGGAATAGCCCCTGGCTCACTCAGGAAGAATATCTGTGAAACAGATGACCTGGGGGAGCTCTGTAGGTGAGTATGGGAATAGATTTTGTGTGTCAAATGGTCAGACTTTCAGGTGAGTCTCTAAGGTCTCTAAGGTGCTCATTATCAACAGGGTTTTAAACTGAAAGATTTGGATTTTGTAGATTTGACTATAAGGAAGAATTTTTTTATGGTAACAGTAGTGAGATTGGAATGGTCCTAACATCCAACCAGAACTTCCTCTTACACAGCTGGAGAAAAGGGATGGAGAAGATGGGGAGGAAGCCAGGCAAGAAAGCTTGCATGGGAAAGACAAAATTGGGAAAAAATACATTGAGAAAACCTTTCCAGAGATACATAGTAAAAGTTTAAAAAAAAACCAAAGCTAAATTCATCTAAGGGAAATAGAGCCAAATAAAAAGTAATTTGGTTGCAAATTAATGAGAACTCTAAAATTAGATCAAGAAAGCAATTACCAAAGGAAGCTACTGCAGGTATTTATTTATTTTTAACGATGACAATCATAAGAGTTATTGGGAAACAGACTGAAAATTGATAAAGCCTAAAAAAAATATTATTTAGTATAAGTGCAGCAGAATCAATCAGGCAATTTCCATGTGTAATTACTGTTGTTGGTATTATTTCCATGTGGCACTTCACAGCAATAGATTACAAAACATTACAATTTTCAAGCCTAGTAAGTGTTGGTGTGGTTTAAGGAATAAAACATGAATTGCCCATCCTTTCTGGTGGTGTTACCATGCACACATTAGGATATGCTCATTGGCTAACGGGATGCAAAGAAATAGAAAATCTGAATGTATAAGTCTGCACTTGTCCAGTAATCTTAATTACTTTCAAGGCAACAAAAGAACAAAATGAAAGCAGCTGATGAAACATGACCAGGTATTTAAAGATTAGTTTGGCATTTGTAAAGGTAAATAACATCTTAAATACAATTAATTTAACTAACTTTCTGTGAGTTGAAAGCAGGCTAAGAGCTATGATTGATAAAGACAGGGATACATGAATCCTAAGAGATGTCTATACAAACAAGTGCTGTTTAGTCTTCTTGAAAATTTATACCTGTGATCTAAAAAGGACAGCACATATCACATAAACGAAAACACCACATAAGAGAAATCAATGCACAGAAGCAAAGAAGAAATCATAACTTTACCAGATAACAATTTTGTTTAAAGGAGACCTTGGCTAATTTCAAGTCCTACGGCCTGTAGTTTTAGAAAAATGTAGACCATCTGTTGGTGAACAGGGAGTAGAGCAGCTCAGAAATCCCTGGGAAATGCAGACACAGAGCTCTTTTCCAGTCTGGTGCTGGGAAGGGTTGAGCCTCATTTGCATGTCTGCTGTAACTGCACAGATCATTCCCCTTTAGATGTTGCTCGGTTTTGAAGCAGGGGATGGGTGTAATGCCACTGCTTTCATTTGAAAACGTGCAGAAAAGAGGTCTGATGCTCTTTGTATGTGGGCCATGCCGATCTACTGCATTCCACAGTGATAGTAAAGAATATGGAAAAACAACTTTATCCCTCCTAAACTAAAAGGATGGCACAGGATTTGCTATATCCTGTTGGGGAGTAAGGGAAAACAGGACGATTCGGTGACGCTGACACTGAAGAACAGGCAGGGAGTAACTCAGGTGATGGGCAGCTTAACAGTCTATCAGCAACATGTCACACAAAATAAGAGTGCAGGGTAAGACTGAATGTTTGTGCCAAGGGTAGCACTGCTTATTGCAACAAAAGAAAATGTGCAATTCCATAAACTCGGCATTGCTTCCTTCTTATCATCGTTAGTTTTCATAATGCAGCAAGTGAAAATAATTAAAGCTATCCCTGATGTCTTAAGCCGTATTTTTTCCAGCTCAACGGAAGTGTGACACACCAACAGATGAGCATCTGGGGTTTCTTTTGGATTTTGAGAGTGAGCAAACAATCCCTCAAAATAAATGTCTGCTAAGTAAAAAAAAAACAAACTAGTTTATTTAGCGCTTATGCTACTGCAGCTATATAGATATTTATGATCGATGGATGTTTTAAAGCCTTATTTCAAATAACATGGGTGTACAAATTACCATTCTTGCCCATAGTGTATGAGTTACCTTTTTGGAATTAATTTCTCCAGCAAGGTCTTCACCACACTCAAGMCACACTGGGTTGAATTTTGTATTCCCTGGCAGCTGGTGTCAGGGGGTCCCTGCTGATGTCTGGCTGTCGGTCCATCTGCCAGCCAGTGGCCAAACCACTCAACACAGGATGGGGGGCTCCTGCCTTTATTCCTTTCTTACACCCTGTGCTCAACCCTTTCAAGCCAATCAAGCATGAACCCAGTGCTCATGATGAGCTTGGTTTCAGTTSCTGTTCCAATCATAAATGAATAGTCAGGGTCATTCCTTTTTTGGTTATTCTGTTTGCTGTTATCTCGAAATGTCATCTTTGAGCTTGTACAGACACGCATTCCTCACTTCTTTTCCCATTCCAGGGTATCTGTGGTGCCAGCATGGTCAACACAGCTGGGCAACTGAACTTGCAGCCCACAGCCTGTCATGGTGGGCTTTGGTGAACCCACACAGCACAGGGACTCAAGCCATGGCACTCTGGGGAACACAACCCAAAGGTCCTTCCTTCTTGATGGGCTTTAGGCCAACTCAAGTCCCACTCTTGCCTGTGCAGGACCCATCAATAAAGCTACATTTGAGCTGTGTTGCTCAATGCCATCTTCTGGGGTTTTTTTTGTCCAAACCTTGTTATCTTTAGCAAATCTTTATATAAACCTGTTCCTAAATCTAGCAYGTTGCTGACCAGCTTTAGATTGGCTTTGTGTCCTGGGAGGCTGTTCCAGATTCGCTGCAATTTGTTGGTTTTTTTCAGGACATTTTACTGCTCAGACTGTTCTCTGCTGCCTTAGGCAATCACCTCACTTGTCTTTCACTCTACCTGAAAGYTATTGCCAAAATTTTCATTTTCTCTTCACCCAAGTGTACCCATCAAGTTCTGAAATCTTTTCTTTGTGTCTGCAATATATCTTCTGAGAAGAAGCCTGACATGAGGCTCCTGTACAATGCTGTGGTACTATAACCAGGCCTAAAAAGAGGCTTAAAAAGGACGCTCTTCTGACGTGCCTTCCTTCCATCCATACTCTAGCAAAAGAATTCTGGCATTGACATCACCCAAAATACTCACTGTCCTTTTGCTGCTGTCTCTTGTCCCCTTTTCCATAAAGCCCTGCACACACAGCCCTTCAGGGAGGCCTTCAAACAGTATCTAAGCAGTCTTTGAAAAGTTACTAAGGGACATAGCTTGCAGTACTTGGTTTAAATTACTCACATAAGGCTTGCTATGTTGAAAACAGTGGGATGGATGCAAATATGAGATGTACAACATCTGTAAGTGATCTCCACTGAGAGATCGACTTTCCTTTCTACTACTTATCAGTTTATTACACTTGGTTCTAGCATGTTTGGCRGTCGTAAATAATTTGGCATTAAACTACACATACTGTAATTTCCAAAGGCTGGATTATGAAGGATATAAAACACATGGCTGAAAAAGTACCACTCCCAAACAGAAAGTTCACTGCCAAACGTGAAACAGAATGACCTGCAAACATTTATTTTAAACAAACATATATTTGGTTTATTATTAGAAAATTTAGATGAAAAAAGAAGCCAGATTAATTGAGAGCATAAGACAACTTGTGTGCTAGTGCTGACTGGAGACTGTAAATTTAGCACCATACAGACTCATCAGATGAATAATTATCTGTTTTTCCTGTGCCTCCCCCAATAAGACCTGCTAGACCTGCTGGACCAGAACCAGCTTAGATGCTTCTGTTGGTGTTTCTCAGTATATCAGGGTCGAGAGTCTATGCACAGAACCAGCTTTGTACCTCCTACAGATTTAATCTKCAATCAAATAAGTCATCCATGTTAAATTGCAAATCGAGAGCAGCTAGAAGCTTCTAGACCAAATGCACACAGAAACTGCTATTCTTCTCTGCCTTCTCCCTACTTACTCAGTTTGAAAGTAAACTGAAGTGTACGTTTGCATGGGGTTGAAAASCATATTCTTTCCCAGGGGAAACCTGTAGATTTTGCAGTTAACACCCAGCTGCCAGAGTAACTGCAGGTTCTTTTCGTCTCTTTTGCTAATACTTTCCTTTGGCACCGGCAGAGCCCACCTGAGGCTGCTGGGGTCGGTGTGCACCAGGCACAGACGCAGGTTTATGCTGGCACAGAGCAGCTCCAGATTGCACGGTCAGGTCAGGCATAACCGGYATCCTCACGGAAAAGCTCACACTCCAGGGATTTGCATTGCCCGGTGCCGCGACAYGGCAATGCGGCTTGGAAAAGCGGCTCCGGGACACTGCGCGCCTGCCTGCGAGCCTGCCGCCTTTCACCTTCAGGCACCGCTATTGTCACCGAAGGCTCAAGCATCACGCTGGGGATGCAGCCGCGGCAGGGGCAGCAGCAGCTTGCGGCGGGCGGGGCTGCACTGCGCCGGCCCCGCACCCACGGGAAAGCAGAGGGAGCGGGCGGGAAGGAAAGTTCAAGAAGAGCCGGGAAAGGTGCCGCCCTATGCGAGGAGTGGGCAAAGCTGCGTGACCGGGGGGCGGGTGTTAAAGGYTTGCAGGGGGAGGTTGAACCCACTTATCACTTTTGCTTTCGTTATTTATGGCCGAGATGATGAGTAAGGTTCTGCTCTGATTTTACATCACTGGATCTTGCAAATGGTTTGGGCGAAAGTACCATACCGCCCGTGAGGCATGGACAGATGCTGAGCAGAACAGAATTAGACTGGTCTGCTAATTCCTGCATATTTGTACTAATGTTCTTCATTTTCAGAGGGAGCGCCTATTTTTATTTATGCATCCCCAAATACTCCAGCAGCAGGTCGACGCACAAAACGGTGCCACTTTATCCGGATGGACAAGCCACAGAGCTTAGGCTCTGTGCCCTAAACATGTCTTTCCCTTTCCTGGTCCGGGGTAACAAATCGCTTTCAAGAACATGGCTCCAAAAGGGATCCAACCAAGGGATGTGGAGCTGCATACTCGCTGCCGGCACGGTKCTTCTGTGCCCACTTGTACCGCCTTTCCTGGGACCATCCACCACAGCGAAGTGGGTGAAAAGAATACAAGCCCACGCATCTGCACAAGGCTGCAGGGAGGGTTAGTTTTATTTTATTGTGCAGCTTGCAGTAAAACTTCCCYAGGGTAAGGCGCAGCAGCTCCTCCTCGCTGCCGAGCCGGGCTCCCCTGCATCACCAGCGAGAGGTGGGCGCACCTGCCCTGCAAGCCCAGCGCTGTAAAAGCGCGCCCTCCCTCCTGTCATTAAAAAGCTCGTCTTCCTCTTCCTCTCCTCCTCCTGTTCTTGTCCTTCGCCCCCCAGCGCCCCGGAGTGTATCGCGCCAGGCGGCTGCCTTACCCCCGCCCCGCCGGCGATGGCCTCTCCGCCTCCGGGGGCGACGCACACTTTCACCCCGGCCCCTGGCACTGCCGGGYGCTTTGCGGCAGCCCGGCGGCCGCTCTAGAAACTTCTCGGTCCCTCCCTCTCCCCTCCCCTTCCTCCTCCTCGGCGACCAGGGGCTGGCGCTGCGGCGAGAGCAGCAGGGAAGGAGGTGTGCGGCGCCCGCCCCCACCCGCGCTGCCCGGAGCCGGAGGCGCAGCCAGGCGCTGTCCCAGCCCCATCCCGGCGCCCAGCGCAGCACCGAGCCCGCCAGGCAGCCCTTCCCTGCGCAGAGGTGGCAGCAGCAGGCGGCATGACGGCGGAGGAGATGAAAGCGGACGGAGCTCCCCTGGAAGGGGTGGACATCACTCCCAAGCAGGATGAGGGCGTTCTSAAGGTACCGGGCTGCTGTTCCCCATCCCCACCCTCCGCGCTATTCGGAGGGGTCCCCGCGCCGGCGGGGAGCGGGGGAGGAAAGAGGGGCGTCATTGCCTTTGGCCTACGAGCCGGTGCTCCCGGGCGCCGCGGCCCCACCGGGCCCATTGTGTGCCCTGCGGGGAAGGGGACGAGACGGTCCCCGGGCATTCAGGCAGCGTTGGCGCAGCGCGGGCGATCAAACAACAGCGGCGGGAGCGCGGAGAGGGGGAGCGCGGAGAGGGGGAGCGCGGAGAGGGGGAGCGCGGAGAGGGGGAGCGCGGAGAGGGGGAGCGCGGAGAGGGGGAGCGCGCCCCGGCTGCGCAAGCGCTGCCCGGCCGCCCGCAGGGGCTCCCACGCGGCGGCGGCTCCGCGCTCCTCCCGGCGGCTCCCGCTCCTCCCGGCTCCCACCTCCCCCGCCGGGAGAACTCGGGGTTACGGGGAGCTGCGCAGGGAAAAGGCGCTTCTCGCCGCCTTCGGGCTTTTCCCGCGATTTGGGGCAYGGTGCGGGAGGGGAAGCCGAGCTGGGATCTCAATCGGGCTCGCCGCGCGGGTTTTGGGGGTCYGGGTCCATCCCCGCCCCCCAGCACGTGTCCGGGGCTGGGAATTAAAGATGGAGCCCCGGCAGGGCACGTGTGCTCGGTGCCCGTGCCCGGCGCTGCCGCCCCTCAGGCTCTGGCCCGGGGCTCTCGGGGGTGCGGGCAGYCCCCGATCCCGCGGGGTCCCCGCTCCGCTCCGGTCACCCCCCGGTGTCGCTTGGCGGGCGGCCCGGCAGGTCCCTGGCGCGGTGCGGTGCACTCCGGCCGAGCGGCTGCTCTCCTTTGTACTGGGGAGCCTGGTGATAAGGGCAGCAGGATTTAGACCGTGAGGGGGAGTTGCACGAACTTCCTCTGCCAGACGTTGCCTATTTCCATATCTCTAGAAACTTCCTTAGGCTCCACTAAAAACTTCAGCGATTATTAGAAGTGTTATTCAACCGCAATTAAAATTTCGAAGTTACGGTGTTCAGAAGGAGAAAAAGGCGCCACAGCAAAGGCGAAATTCTGAGTTTAACCTTTAGAGCCTTCTGGTTTTAAAGTCTGGGTTCGTTATGGAGGCGCTGTCTCACGTTCAGGAGGGTTATCAGGGAGCAGATTGAAGATGTTGGCTTCTATATTCCTGCTTTCTCATGTTTCCCGCTAGCATGCTTAGGTGACRATTTCTGGATTTTGCACATAGTGCAGTATCAGATCAGAGTTGTCATCTGCATGGCTGCCCCACTCTCGCAGCCCAGATCCCTCGAGCGTGGTGCAAGACAGTGAGGGTCTGCTTAATTCATGCAGTATACCTACTTCTTGGTGATGGAGAAGCAGCAGGTGTTTTTGGGTATTCTACTTAATTATTTTTTTAGAGGAGGTGAGTAGAAAATACTAGCAAATAAAGAGGGGTTGTGAAAATCASAAAAATTGAGATTGTGAATTGATAAGCAAAACACTGCAGAGGTCATGAAGTCCAGCCTTCATGGATATTTTTCTCCTAATTGCTGRAGTGCAAAATGCATGCATTGAAATCAAGGTTCTAGCTCTGAACTAACCTACACCAATTTTGTACAGGTATTGTTGCAGTGATTCCAGGAGTGTGTTTGTTTGTGGATCAGCTTTGTATCAGAATAGTATCCACAGTTTTTTGCCTGATATTGCTAAATATGCTTGCACAATTTCTACAGTAAGTATTTAAGTTTAGAAATARACTATTTGGAATCCCATATGAACTGAAAAATCCCATTTTTCCATCTGAAAAGGAAATGTAAACCTTAGACAAAATAGGATCACCACATTCAGAAGTGAAACTTCAGTCTCCTCAAAGTGGAACAAATGCAGAAATATAAATATATTTCTGTATAAATAATGAAAATGATATATTTGTTATTCTAGAATACTTTGGTATGACACTACAAGAATATTGCATTTGGTAAAGTTTAGTAAATTTCCATTAAATGCGGTAAGTTTTCCAAAATTACTTCATACTGGCTGCTTTAAAGTGCTAGTTTGGATCCACTTTATATAGATTTATGTCTAGGCATGGTGTAGGTTAGGTTGTTTACCTGATTCACATGGGTTTTTTCCTACTTTGTTTCCTTATCTCTGTGAGAGTGGTTGCTTGARCTTTTGTCTTCCTTGGGGAGACATCAAAGATTATTTCTGTAATGCTAATAACTGCTGTAGTGCTGGTGTAGGATAAGAACAGGGCTGTGCTGTGTGAGGTCAGGCATCCCTTTTCATGCCGAGCATCCTCTCCTTAGGAAACAGCAGGTAGGATTTTTTTTTTAGGTTTTGTTTGTTTGTGGGTTTCTTCTTTATTTATGCATTCAATGAGGTGCTTTCAGCTTGTTAAGAGTCTGATATTGTTGATGATAAATTTTGGCTTTAGATGGAGGGTACTGGCATTTCAGTTGTGTAGTCAGTTGCAGAGTTGGTGGGAGGCCAAGTGGGAGATCCACAGTGGTGGGTTGCAGGAAACTGAAATTTGTGAARGAGACTCCCAAAGGTCTTTGTCCTTCAGTGAAAAACATGATTGGTATAGAAAYATGACATTTAAAGGACAGATGCCTTGTAAGTGCCCTTGAATAGATGTTTATCTTGTATAACAGAATGTTTTCCAGGTCTCTCTGATGCAAACAGATAGGGTCTTCCACTGGTCCCCTTTTTCCTGGCTAAGATAATGCAGCGCTTTGGCTCAGAGCTGGATGCTTTCWGTTGGTATTGGAGAAAATTCAAATTTGAACTTTGAAACCCTGTGGTTTCACCTCCTTGCCTATATGTCACTATTACTCTCTGGATTTAAATAAACCTCAAATGAACAACAGAGAGATTGTCCCATCTTGCCTTCTGAATARTGTGGTTTTATTTAATACCTGTCTTGCTGGGCAGACTGGGGAACCCCCTGAGAAGAAAATCAAATCCTTACAACTGTATGTGAGACATACAGGTGGGCTGGCCTTCATGTCAGAATTGTGGGGAGACAAAATTAGTGCAATATGGTATTTTTTAAATGTTACTCTGTACCTGCATGGGGTGAGACTGCTAACTTTYGTTTAACTGCCTGGATTAACTCGAGTAATTTCAGATTACATGTTGGAATAGATTTTGCATGGAAAGAAGCACATTATTCTCTGGCTGAAATGCTTTGCTTAGCACAGTGAATTCAGGTGTGATGATAGAGAAAGAATGAGGCGAATACTTGAATAAAGGAAAGAAAMAAGCCTGTCTAATAATTTGCCAGTGTAAGTTTCAAGTACATTTAAAATCTTGTAGAGGCAAGGTAAGTGAKGTGGCCAAGGATGGATGCAGAGATCTGTAAGCTGGTGCCAGCTGTTGCCTATTAAATTCTYGTATCAGAGCACAGCCATCTTGAGGTTCTGAATTTGCAGCACTGCTAATCTACAGAAAGAACAGTCAGTCCATTTCCAGGTGACTGAAGGAAGCCTGCAAGTCCTTTATTTACTGAAGATGCATGCATCTAGGTATTTGTGATTCGTGTCCAATGGGCAGGCTTGGTTGCCTGATCTCAGTGCTGATTGCTGTTTTCCCAGGTTGTCAAGAGAGAAGGCAGTGGGATGGAGTCTCCAATGATCGGTGATAAAGTGACTGTCCATTACACAGGATGGCTTCTTGATGGCACAAAATTTGACTCCAGTCTGGACAGAAGAGACAAATTCTCATTTGATTTGGGGAAAGGTGAGACCTTGTGTTTGGTATCGATCAGTTTTGGTAATAATTAAGATGAGATTTCCTCGTGTGTCTGGCTCCTTTGCTTTTCCAAGTTGTTGCTTGTTTTCTGAGTTTATTCTCTTGGAATGGCCCAGTCAATGTCTTGGAGATTTTTCTGAATGAGAAAACTGTAGTCCCTTGAGAGGCCTGCTGAAGTATTCACAGGCCTCATAAAAAGCACTCCAGGGCAGCAAATCTGCCCTAAAATGTGTAAATAAAGGGTAATTTAAAATAGTTAGAATATGCATTTTATTGGCTGGGCTTTTTTGGGGGCCAGACCTTTGATCCAGCAAATCTTATTACTCAATCTTGTATTTTTCCTTGGCAGTTACTTACCTTCTACTTTTAAAAAATAGAAAATACCTCCTTTTTTAAAGAGGTAAATTGATTACATGGCCATTTGAGATGATATAGTGTACCTGTTAATACAAGATGAGTAGAAAGGCTGCTTGATGAGTAGAAAGGAGCAGCAATTAGAAGAGCTTGAGTAAGAGAGAAAATTTTGTAACACCTTTTCTTCCCTTTGAGAGGAATGTTACTACTTTCCTCCCCGTTTCTGTTACAAATGTGTGTAACTTTTAGTTACCACTTGTGSGGTTCTTTGCCAACTGATAAAGCCCAGACAGAAAATGCCTTTGGTTTGGATTGTTTTCAAAATAGGAGCCGCCAGTCTCTCACCCTGAGGCCTTTCTCTGGGAAGAGTTTATTGTTACTTTCTCCCCCTTGAGACTGTGCCAAGCACTTCAGCCMGTGTCTGCTTGGTTATTCTACGAAAAGAGTTGCTACACCTAGAATGAAGAAATGTTTGGGCCAAATTTGGGTCCTTGGGAAACTTTACAATGTGATTAGGCTTAAAATTGGTGTGCTTAAAATTGATGTATTTTTACTGCCTTAGCTTTTGTGTACTAAAAGTGATGATGCTGAGTTTCAGCTGATCATGCTTTTCATTGTGTGATTGGCATTTGACTCGTGCAGGTGAGGTGATCAAAGCATGGGACATTGCTGTGGCCACTATGAAGATCGGTGAAATCTGTCGGATTACGTGTAAACCAGAATATGCCTATGGCTCAGCTGGGAGCCCCCCAAAGATACCTCCCAATGCTACACTGATTTTTGAGGTAAGTGAGAGATGGTCACTGAAACTGTACGCTTGAAAAATGTGATATCCTTTCAAAAAAAGATGGTTAGGTTTTCTAAAGAAAATAGTTTGGTCAGTTTTGGTTACTGTGGACAGAGTTTTAGCCTGGCTCCTACTGCTCTGTGATGGCTCAGGTTCCCTTCTTTTTGAGTTTTTAAAACATTTGAATGATCTTCAGTGTTCAGTTGTAATTTTGCAGTTATGGAGTGATTTGCAGCAGGAAAGTGAAGGCTGGGAGGGCAGACTGTCTCTGTGACAGACTGAAGTAGTTCAGAAAACAAAATCTTTAAACCACTTTGTAATATATGATATGTTAAAAGCTTTGAAGTTTTCAACAACAGGAAGAGCAATAAATACCCTCAGTAACACATTTTTCATACTTGTGTTTTCTTTGCAACATTAAGGTAATCTCTTCCAAGCTATTTCAGGGAGAAAAGAGGTGATTGCCCCATGTAAATACAGCTGGAATACAGTATTTGAACAGCCCTGCAATTAGGAGCTCTCTTCTGTAGAGCTGAGCGTTTTAATAAACCTTAAAGCACCRTGATACCAGTTTGGATTCAGATTGCTGGTTCATTACCAAAGTCTCTGTGCATCCAGGCTACACTGATCAATCTTGCCACCACAGATAAAGTCATGTTCACTCACTTSGTCCCTGTGACAGGCTCAGCAGTCCTGAGTTTGGCAGCTGGGTAACCCAGCTTGACAACTCACGTGGCCAGCTGGTCTCCTGGAGATGAGCTGCATGTCTTGGTGAACATGGAGCCAGTTATCCTTGGTGTCTCAACCYCACCAGGAGAGGAGAGAATTTGTTTCCTACTGATCTTTAAGTTATTCCCCCCCACCACCTTCCCCCTCCTTCCCAAAAGGGGGTGGAAATAGCAGCTGTCTCTTGTGTGTTATTTCAGAAGTGAGAATARTTGCTCAGAATGCTCAGGCTTGTGTTTGATTTTTCCATGGAGGATGACATTAAAGCTTTTTCTGCAGCATACCCTGACAGTCTCAACAGTGGTTGGGGAGGATATATTTTTCTTGCTGCTGAAACAGTTCAATTTGCCAATAATTGCTTTAAAATAAATTCTACCTGAGAGAAGGCAGGCTTTTTTTAAGTGCAATTTTTGAAATTACTTTGCTCTAAAGCACTTAATCAATGGAAAGGAATCCTTCAGTTGGGGGCATAAGGAAAGTTTTAAAACTGATGATTGCTCTGAGATTGAATGTGTTATCTGAGACAGGTAAAAATAACTCATGGAGTGAAGACTGAAAGTGTTTAGATTTTATTGGAAACAGTTGGAAACATTGTTCATCTGTTAAGAGGCTGAATTATATATAGAATCATTGAGGTTGGAAAAGACCTTTAAGTCGGTGGAGTGCAGTCATGAATCTGGCTCAGCCAAGTCCATTACTAAACCATTRACCCAAGTGCCACATCCACACCTAAATACCTGCAGGGAGGTGACTCAGACCCTGGGCAGCCTGTTCCAGTGCTAATAACCATTCTAAACCTCCCCTGCTGTGCCTTGAAGCCATTTCTTCTTGTCCCGAAAAGGGACAGAGAACCTCCTTTCAGGGASTCATAGAGAGTGAGAGGGTCCCCCTGATCCTCTTTTTCTCCAGGTTAAACACCCTCAGCTGTTCCTCACAGGGCTTGTGCTCCAGACTCTTCACCAGCTCATTYGCCYTTCTCTGGACCCATTCCAGCACCTCAGTGTCTTTCTCRCAGTCAGGAGCCCAGACCTGGATGCAGCATTTGAGATGTGGCCTCACCAGTGCCCAGTGTGGGGGGACAATCCCTGCCCTGGTCCTGCTGGCCACACCATTGCTGATACAGGCCAGGTGCCATTGTCCTTCACATAACTGGATATTGTATTCACTTTACCTTGGGATAGTGATTTGCATTTTTTTTTTTTTTTCAATGGGCTTCTGAGTAATAGGATTGAAGATATTGCTAGCAGGTAGTGTCCACTGAGAGATGACAACTTACTTACTTTGAGTACATCAGAATTAATACCTTTGTTTCTGAAAAATCGTATCATGTAGAGCTGTTCATAAGCAGCGTTTTCTTACCCAGGAATCTGAAGTTACTCATGGCTTACTTTTATTGTATCAAACGACACATGTTGGAGTGCTGTGTGCTTCTATGCWAGTGATACTAGGTGTAATCAGAGCTGAGCTGGTGATGGAAATGCAAGCTAAAAGCTCAGGGCCTTTTACCTTGGCAGCTCGGTGGAGCATTCTTAAGCACTTAGCACCTGCTACAGAGGATGCACGTGGTCAGCAGAAAGCAGAGAAAACTTCGATTTGTCATTTGTCCATTTGTCATTTGTCGTGCAGAAAAGATAATACCTAGCATTGAGATAAATAAAAGCATGAACCACAAGATGGGATTTGTTCCATCAGACTACCCCAGAGTCTCTCCAATGTATTCACCCAGGTTACTCCCTTCCCACTGGTCTTTTCTTAATGCTGCCAGTCTGGCTTCTCCATTTTCTGGGTGTGTTTTCAGATAAAAGTAGCGTTTCATTCACGAGTCTTGATATTCCCTAATGCCTGCCTATGCAGTCATGTTCAAGGGAAAAAGGGAGAAAGAAAAGCACCAAAGCTGCCTATGGTGGTTTGGTGCTTCCCTGATAAAGCAGCCTGGGGCTCACTGGCTGCAAAAAGTACACAGTGCTGGGTGTGTCCTGATCGGGGGTGTGGGTTGGAGCTTAGATCCAGAAAATTTTCCCAAGTTTCATTAGGTTAAAGTGACTTCTGGCTAGTATGCCTCTCAAACAGCTAAAGTCTCTTAAATTTCCACTTTGGTTTTATCTASTTTCACTTTTTATTACTTAACACAATGTCAGCATGGTTCTTTTGCAAGTGTTTATCACCGTACCAAAATTTTGTACAAATTGCCTTAAAAAAGACCTYCTAAAACTTACATTAAGAGCTTTTGAACCTGTGTCATCACATCAATATGTCTTTATTGACATGAAGTAATGCATGCCCTATGGYTTGGAAGTTCTTTTTTTCTTTTTTGATCTGGCAGTGGTTTGTTTCTTCTTCCTTATAATTGCGTTTGCTGAGCTAAATGAACAGATAGATTGTTCCAGTTGGGAAACAACAGATAGGTTGTTCAAGTTGGGAAAAAAAAGAAGGATGGGACATACCTGTGTGGTCATTAGTAGGATGTTCAGGAATTACTTCTTTCAGACTGACTGAAGAGAAAGACCAGAATATTATTTGTTGCTAAGTATCATTCAAATTAAAAAGTGGAAGTACTGGTGGATATTCAATTCCTTTTGCATTCCAGGTATCTTAAGTCCAGTGTCAGGAATCTCCTGAAATTTTTTTTTTTTTTTTTGTAAATGGGGTAGTCTAAACAATGCTGATTATAATGGTTTGCTTTTTTGTGCTGTTTTCACTATTTTACTCAAACAGAGGATATGATTTTTTTTTCCCACTTCATAGCAGCAACGACAAATATCTTTTGTAACTTGACTGTTTTTCTATGTCATAGTGGTATTGCTACTTGAAACTATGATTTACATTTACTTGGGAGGGCATGTGAAGATTCAGAGATTCAGACTGGATACCTATCTCTCCCATTAACACTAGCTYTTAAAAATCCTAAACAATTTGTTACAGCAGTGAGTTTGGAGTTTTAGAGATTTCTGCAGAGCAAATACTTTGAGTTACTAAATTGATGCAATGAGAATAAATGCAAGGCTTTTCTTCCCTCCACAGATAGARCTTTTTGAGTTCAAGGGGGAGGACCTCACTGATGAAGAAGAYGGTGGCATCATCCGAAGAATCCGTAAAAAGGGGGAGGGCTACTCCAAGCCCAATGAGGATGCACTTGTAGAGAGTAAGTGTGTTGTTACACAAATAGCAAATGGGTTTGCCATRTGGGTTGGCAGGCCTTTTCCACAATCTACAACTCCTTGTCCTGAGGGAGAGCAATACATGGTTTCTCTTTTCTTTACCAAGTAACTTAACAACCTAAAGTAAGCTTTCCTTCTCCTGTTTCTAGCAAGGTTTGCATTTTCCAGCAACARTTGTGTTTTCTAGTTACAGATTCTGATACTGAATCTGTTAAAGTGCTTATCTGATCACAAAAGGTGATTGAGTCCCATAAAGTATTTCCATGTGCTGAGGAACAAGAGGGGAAGTCATTCTGGCCCTTGTCATTGGAGTGGAAAAAACAAACACTTAAAAAACAAAAAAAAACCAGGGTTGTTAAATTTTACGGCAGAGGTCCTGTTTGCTGCCAGTAGCCATGTCATAGGTAGCTGCTAAAAGAGAAAAGCGAGTTTAGAAGGAGGTTTTGGCACTCTGTATGTGCTACCTGTACTCCTGGTGCCTGCCCATTGCAGGGCAATAGAAATATATAGAAACCTGATATATATATAGAAACCTGATTTCTGTCTCTGTTGTTCCGGTTTTTRTCACCAGTCCAGTTTGAAGGCCGACATGGAGATCGTGTTTTTGACAAGAGGGAATTGAGGTTTGAGATTGGAGAAGGTGAAAACTTYGATATTCCTCATGGGCTGGAGAAAGCAATTCAAAAAATGGAGAAATCTGAGGAATCTGTGTTCTATCTCAAACCCAGGTATGCTGTTTCTGGTATTTGATACTGSAAGGGCTTATATTAATCATCTGGCAAGAAAGAAATGCTTTTTTATAGTGCCTTTCAGCTTTTTTCAGTGCTGTGGTAAAASTTGGATTAGCTCCAAAAAATAGATGTGTGAGAAGTATAGAGCTAAGGTTGCTATAGAACTAAGGTCACTTTACCACTTCATAATGAAGCACTGGCACTCCAGAAAAAAATTATATAAATCTCTGTAATGTTGACCTCTGAATATTTTTTTAAAATGTTGTTGCCCTTTAACTTAGATTTTTGTGATCCCTCTTTTGGACTGCTTACTGTAAAACTGTGTGTGTGTAGACTTGGCTATAGGCAGAATTTTCTCTTTACAGTGAGAACACTGTCTGAGACAAGTGGAGTTGCACAGATTGTTTTCATCAGACTTTAATTTATTCCAGTTTTTACTGATTTTTTTTTAAACTGGAACTGAGCCTGAAAGGAGCAGGAAAGAAAAGCAATGTGATCTAGAGGGTTTTCCTGCTAATATGCAGCTTCTTACTGGAGTTTCACTGGAGAATTCTGTAGGCATTTCCTGTTTATCAGATGATTAGCAGCATGTTAAGTGTACAGCTGCTCACCTAATCTCGGTGAGATTGTCTCTGCTTTTCTAAGAATAGAACTGAAATACAGGTGCTCTGAAGGCAACACTCAGTTTCAGAACATGAATATAAAGCATGACAGGTATAACTTTAAAGTTGATTCTTTTGGTTTGGCTTTTTTTTTTTTAATGGAGTGATAAATTGCTTTTCTTCAAGTAAATTAAGAAAAATAATAACAGGGACTATGAAGAGATTAATGAAATCAACACGAGGTTTCTTTGTTGCTTATTTCTACCTAGTGCTTACTAATTTTAGAATTGTACCTAGAATTCTTCCAGCCTTTGTGTCATGTAGTAATGATTTATGCAAATCCCAAATTTGCACAGGTTTTTTGTCTCCATCTTCCTATATAGCAAATACAGCTGGATGGATAGTTTTGAACTCTCTTCCTTATAATGTTTGTTTCTCCCTCCCCACCCCCATTTTACAGCTATGGTTTTGGAAGTGCTGGGAATGAGAAATTTAAGATCCCTCCAGACGCAGAGCTGCAGTATGAAGTGAAACTCAAAAGCTTTGAAAAGGTGGGAAGAAGAGATGAAATCCCAGAAAGATCCAGGGCTGGGGGAAGAAGTGGGAGTGCAGTTTAAACGATGACAATGGAATCCTTGAATGGTGATGTGAAACAGGGAGGCCACTGTTGCCAGAGATGATGGTGACGTGCTGGGAGCTCTTGGCTGAAATGATCCTTATTCTTCCTGTATCCCTGCCTGCTGCCATCTCTCATGCTCTAGGCTGGTTTCCAGTAGCAGTGCAAAGCTCTGCTTTGCCTTACTTTTCCCTGCCATCCTGTTAGTGGGAAKCAGCAGAGCCACTTTATTCCTCTAGAAGTTGTGTTGTTGTATTGAAGTTGACTTGAAGTGTTCCTGTTTGTGTAGGCTAAGGAGTCTTGGGAAATGAACACAGATGAGAAGYTGGAGCAGAGCTCTATTGTGAAGGAGAGAGGCACTCAGTACTTCAAGGTAAGTTACAGTCCCCAAGTTTTAGTAGCATTTCTTAGTCCATGTCATGAGCTAATAATAAAGATTACAGCTTCTGTCATTTCTGAGTGGTGTTCATGGTATTCTGTGAGATTCTACAGGGAGAACTGCAGGTGAACGTGTCTTTAAAAAAAAAAAAAGTAAACTCAGATGGATTATCCAAAGGACTAACTCTGCAAGAACTCTCTGCTGTACCTACAGATAACTTCATGGTGTACACAGAATAGTAGTGAGGTTACAGTATTTCGGTTCCTGCTATRTGATAGTGTTGTGAATGAACAACATTCATTTGGGTAGAGATGTGTGGAGAAGCTGTTTAAAGCAATTTGACTAGCTAAAGGAAGAGTTTTCCTATTATCTTCATAACACAATTTGAAAATGCCTCATCTATTTTTGTGTATCAAAAGCTGAATATAAGGTAGGAGTTCAGTGAAGTATCAATGCTAGCATATAACCCTAGCTCTAATGGGGGACCAGTTAGGTATTCCTAAAGACTCTCTGATCCTGTGCAGGAATGGCTCTCAGAAGTAGTATATTTTTGATGATAGACGTTATTTTTTTATCAAATGGAGGTTTTATTAGGTCTATTGCTCAAGGTAGGCAAAAGGGATGAGAGGGAGGTAAAAGTTACTGTGATGAGCTGTGTGATAATTGAACTGCCTTGTTCACAGGAGGGGAAATACAAGCGGGCAGCATTACAGTATAAGAAGATCGTGTCGTGGCTGGAGCATGAGTCTGGGCTCTCTGAGGAGGAGGAATCAAAAGCCAAAAGCTTGAGGCTTGCTGCCCACCTTAATCTAGCTATGTGCCATCTCAAGCTAAAGGAGTACTCCCAGGCTTTGGAGAACTGCAACAAGGTAGTAGGGGTTTATTTATTCTTAAACTGCACAAGCAGTCTGACAGTTTCTCTTGCTTAAAAAATTTTAGGGACAACAGGCCATGTGGTGTTTGGTCTTTCTTACCAGCTGGCGTTTGTGTAGTATGAAATTTTTAGTACACTAAAAATATCCAGCAGATTATTTTCATAATTACTGCCCTTTGAATATCATTTACTAAGTTGCTGCTACATTTAGAATATTCAAGTATTTAGAAATTAGAAACACTTGAGATGTGGTGAAAGTTGTCATGTTGACAAAGGTCTTTCAAAGAGCAGGATTAGTGCCAGGACTAAATCTTAGCCTTGCTGGTTCTCTTGTCAAAGAGCCTGCTCTATTCATTCCTCATTGTGCTTATTTCTGCTGTATTCCACGCACTTTATTAGTAAGCCCTGACAAGACTCGTAATTTTACATCAGAAGGTACTGTTCCTAGCATTCTCTGCTGTTCTGACTGCATATAATTTTTATAAAAGAAAAATACTGAATGTGGTTTGTTTTTGTTTTGGTTTTTTTTTTGAATGCAGGCGCTCGAATTGGATAGCAACAATGAAAAAGGCCTCTTCCGGCGTGGGGAAGCTCACTTGGCTGTCAATGACTTTGAGTTGGCCCGAGCAGACTTCCAGAAAGTGATACAGCTTTATCCAAGTAACAAAGCTGCCAAAGTGCAGCTGGTAACTTGTCAGCAAAAAATACGGGAGCAGCATGAGAAGGAGAAAAAGATGTACGCCAACATGTTCCAAAGGCTTGCGGACAAAGACATAAAGGTGAGTAACACTGCTCCAAAGATTACAGGAGGTGATCGTGATCATATTCAAGAACTGAAAAAAGCACCTCTTCTGCTAAAACCTATTGTAAAGACCAGGCTGTTCTGCTGTCTGGGGGGCCCATCTAGTGAGAACTTGTATCTGTCATACAGAGGGTGCTGGGCACCGTCTTGCTTCTCACGGAGACATTGAGAYGTGTTTGATGGTCTCCATGTCAGATGTCACAGATTGATCATGAAGTGTCAGAAGATTCATTATTCTGGTGTGTGGGTGGTTTTCCTAATCAGGTATCACTGGATTTTTAGTAAATACTAGTTCAGTTAATAACGGCAGTGTGTGAAAACAGATTCTCACAGGGTTGTATCAGCTGGAAAGAAACATTCCTGGTTTCTGGTGAGAATCAGGTATCCTCAGGAAACTTTGTTTCTTTTCCTTAAATCTGGCAGTCTAGAAGGACAAGATGGACCTGTAACTTCTCAGATAAATCAGGGATTTATATCAGACTCCAATTTCCTCAGTAGCACTGGGGAGTATKGAAGCTCGCATCTTGTGAGGTTATTTTCACAGATCTTTGTGTCCACCTTTCCAGAGTATGCATGGAGCATATAAAAAATTGTCAGATACCGATATGCTAATTTCCTGTGGCTAACTGTGTCATTGAGTCTTTCCAGAGGCACGGTGTCCTCAGATGAATGTATCCTGACCGTTCAGCCATTTCAGGCTGTCAGCTGACAATTTCCCACATGAAATGCTTTATGCTGTGTCTTCTTTTTTTGGCTGAAGCAGTCTGATGTCAACAGTCCTTGCTTATTGGAGCTTGGAAGAAAGTATTCTGTCCTTCTAGACACAGTGATGTAAAGTCACACRGTACCTTAATTTCAGTAGGCTTCAATGAAAAATATCAGGAAGATAAAGATACAGCAACTAAGCTAGAATTATTTCACTGTTGGGCATCTTCACTTTTGAAATGGCAGGGTTTAATTGCCAAGCTGTTGAGCTCTTTTGTGAAGGCTCCTTTCAGCTGGCACAGCTGCTGGGAGTCAGGCTTCCTCCACTAGGTGTGGGACACAGCAAGATGTGTTGAGATAGGAAGAGTGGATTGCTGAAACAAGCTATACCCCCTAAAAGTATACAAAAGGTGCCTTCATGGTTTCTTCAGCTCCTAAGACAGGTGACTGGTAGAGTAAGATGCTTAAGAAAAGGCAGACTCAGAGTCTTTGCATTGCAGACTGTGTGGGATACTGGAAAGACATGACACTTAGTTTCAGTTTCTCTATCCGCTTGGGATGGAATCAGTTTAAAGTTGTAAAATCCTTTAGGCTGGAGTCCAACCAAATGTAAATGAAAGGTTTTTGTTAGGAATCTAACACTGAACACAGGGTTCAAGGTTTGGCCTCAGCATTGCCAAGCAGAGGGGGATAATCCCTGCCCTGGTGCAGCTGGAAACACTATTGCTGATACAGGTTTGCATGCTGCTGGTCTGGTGAATTCTTCCCAACAAGTTAGATGATCTTGGGAATGTGCAATGTGGTTTGTTTTTTTTTAACTCTGAGCCATCTGGCCTATCTTAAATGGATATGGTTTTATATGAAATGGGATTGATGGAACTATGAAGTGTAAAGGATGCTTACTCCCTGGGCCAATCTTAAGGTTGTTTTCCTGCAAGAATAGCTTGTTTTCCTCTTAAGCATTTATAATGTTGCTTTACTCTAGCTCCAAGTGTCTGTCAGTGGCGTAGAGAAGCTCGAAGTTCTGGGGAAGAGGGTTTGTTTACCAAATGTCTTCTGATTGCTAGGAAGGTAGTTTGGATTGTAGTTCTGATATCCCTGACATAGTCTGTTAAATTCAACAGCCACTCTTGCATCAGTAGTTCGTTTCATGAATTTGTAAAGTTGACACATGTGAAAGGTGAGTGATCACCTTATCTTAAACCCAGGGTTGCTAGTTAACACATTTGTTGTGGAGAGAAGATCTAGCTCTTGTGTGCTTTACARAATGCTTCTAAGGATCAAAAATTGACCTTTGATGCATGAATGCTCTTTTAAAAGTGGTTTCATGTTGGCAGCCAAGTTGGTGTAAGATTTTAAGGATTCTGCCCCTTTTCCCCCTCCTGTTCCCCTCTCTCAGCATTGTATGTTTAAGACTTCTCTTGTTTTTGTCTGGTTCTCGTCTAAGATCATCATAAAACAGATGGTTCAAGGTGCTGGGCTGACAGGTGGGAGAGCAATTTCATTGTGCTAGGTTTTGAGATGAGCAAGCCAAGCCATTTTTGCCTCCCTATRTTTGAAAATCATTGCAAGGTCAGGATGTTCTAATAATGTCCTCTTGTAAAACCTTGGACCCTACCTCATGGCTCTCTGCCTTCACACCTTTTGATGAGCAAGATGCACAAGGAGAAGGCTTTAGAGCACCTTGTCAGATCATAATTTCTTCCAGCTAAGCTCTTGCAGAGGACATCCAAATCACTGTCGTTGCGTTGAAAAATGTCTCCACAAAATTTGTTGTCCAACAAAGATATTTCATCTTATGCTGACTGTAAGTTTGCCTCATGCAAGTCGGATTGGGGTAGGCTCTGGGAATGGCTGAAAATGAACTACATTGATATTGAGGCAGAGCAAAAGCAGTCCTTGCAGAAGCTTCCTAAATGAATTTCAGTTAAAAGACTTSTAAGAAATTGTTGAGTGGTAAGTGGGTGCAGGTCACATTAAGAATCGTAACCACCTAATTACCAGTAYTATATTTTGGCCTCCTCTACAACACTTCTGGTTTCCTAGAGGTGTGAAAATATTTTGGTTTCTCTTGTTTGAAAATCCTAATATCACAATTCAATCTTGCAGGGTAGACAAGCTTTCCAAGTCATAAGAATCAAACAATGTTTGTGCTAGCAATTTTGTATAACAAATTAATATATTTTCTTTGTCTCTTTGTTTAGTCATCCTCTACTCTTCAGACAAGCCACACTGAAGATGCAGAAATGAAAGATGCGCAGAATGGAGTTGAAGATAAATCAGAAGTTGAAGCAGAAGCATAAAAACAAACCCTATTCCATTAGTTTTGTAAATGAAAGAATTTCCAGTGAATTAGACCTTTATTTTTCTACCTGGTTGGATAGTGGCTTCAAGGGAGCAGAGGCTGAAGCCACCATGCCACAGTCAGTTACAGCTTTATGTGGCTGTTCAAGAAGCTGAGTGGCAGCATAAATCTGGTTTAATCCTAATGACTTTATTTATTCATTCAGCCTCTGTTACTGTTTGGGTTCTGTCTGGATTTACTCTGCTTGGTTTATTTGCATTTTCATAGAATCATAGAATGGCTTGAGWTGGAAGGGACCTCAAAGATCTAGTTTTAACCCCGCCTGCTGTGGACAGGGATGCCCTTTACTAGAGCAGGTTGCTCAGAGCCCCATCCAGCCTGGTCTTGAACACTTCAGGGATGGAACATCCACAGCTTCTCTGGGAAACCTGTTCCAGTGCCTCACCACCCTCACAGTAAAGAATTTCTTCCTAATAGCTAATCTTAACCTGCACTCTTTCAGTTTGAAACCATTCCCCCTWGTGCTGTCACTAGTTTCCCGTGTAAATAGTCTCTCTCCTGTTTCTTGTAGGCTMCCTTCAGGTACTGGAAGACCACAGTTTGGTCACCCCAAAGCCTTTTTCCCAAGCTGAACAATCCCAGTTCTCTCGGCCTTTTCTCATAAGGAGAGGTGCTTGATCCCTCTAATCRTCTTGGTGGCCTTCCTCTGGGCTTGCTTCAACAGGTCGATGTCCTTCCTTTGCTGGGGACCCCAGAGCTGGATGCAGCACTGCAGGTGGKGTCTCACCAGAGCAGAGGGTCAATGTCCCCTCCTTCACCCTGCTGCCCATGCTGCTGTGRATGGCAGCCCAGGGTACAATTGGCCTTCTGGGCTGTGACTGTGCATTGCTAACTCATGTCCAGCCTCTCATCCAACAGCACCCCTAAATCCTTCTTGGCAGGGCTGCTCTGGATCTGTTCATSCCCCAGCCTTTATAGATACCAGGGGTTGCCCCAACCCAGGTGCAGCACCTTGCACTTGGCCTTATTAAGCCTCATTAACACATGTGCCCACTTGTCAAGCTTGTCYATGTCCCTCTGGATTGGCATCCCATCCTTCAGGTTTGTCAGCTGGCCCACTCAGCTTGGTGTCATCTGCAGACTTGCAGAGGGTGCACTGTGTCCCTTCATCCACATCATTAATGAAGATGATAGTAACTCTGATCCCAATACRGACCCCTGAGGGACACCACTTGTCACTGGTGTCCATCGGGACGCTGAGCCGTTGACCACTACCCTGTGGATGTGACCATCTCTTACCCATCAAACTGTCCACCCAGTGAATCCCAGCTCTCTCCAGTTCAGAGAGAAGGATGTTGTGGGGAACTGTCTAAGGCAGAAATTTACAGAAATGAAAATAAATGACACCTGTAGCCCTTCCCTTGTCCACTGGTGGAGTCACCACTCCATCACTGAAGGCCACCAGGCTGGTCAGAYAGGACTGGYCCTTGGTGAAGCTGTGCTGGCTGTCCCCAGTCACCTCCCTGTCCTCCACGTGCCTTAGATAGCATCTAGGAGGATCTGTTCCATGATCTTCCTAGGCACAGAGCTGAGGCTGAGACATTGGTAGCTCCCATTTGTCATTGGTGTTCATTTCTTTCTGCTTCCAGCTTACTTTAATCCCAGGTTCTGCTTTCTAAATTTATTTCCTTGATTTCATTCAAGTAAATAGGTTTTTCCAGGAGTCCTCATGTGAGACTTAAGAACAAATTGGCGCTCCCACTTCTTCTGCCTTGGGGTTGCCCTCTTTCCCCTGTTCAGTAGGGAGTCCCTTCCATTARGTATTGTAACCTTTCTTGTATGCCTCCTCTTTGCAAATTGCTGAAGGTGCAGACTGTGAAGTCACAGCTTAAGTAATAAAGCTCCAATTAAACTCCAGAAAACTGAACTTTTCGTGGGTTTTTATTGGAATTTGCACAGAATTGAGAGAATTTACTGTCCTTTGGTCATTCAGTGTTATTTGTCCACATAGCCTCAATGTCCTGATTATTTTTCTGTTGATTGTTTGTTACCACAGAAAATTCCCACAATATTCAATACATTATTTACCCATATATTTACAAAAGGGAAAAAGTATGTTGCTGSAAACTGTGCAAAAAGCAAGTCTGTAACCTATGCATAGAGCTTATTATATGTTCATATTGTTACCCTTCTCTTCATCCACCAGACTGTAAAACTGGACCAGAGAAAAAAAACAACCAATATACCTGAAAGTGACTGGATTTGAAGAGAAAGTGATAGTGTCTTACATATTGCAAATACTTCTAATGAACTACAAACTCCTGAGTGATTCTAATGCCTGCTTACCCAGAATTCACAAGAAAGCTATTCAGTATTCTGCTTCTTTCTGCAGTTTATGTGTCTTGTTTGGGGATGGGTGTGCTTTTGAATTTTGTGGGGGCTTTTGGTTGGGATGGGCTTTTTTGTTTGTCCGAAGGCATGGAACGCAGTATCCAAATTCAGCTGTTGTTTATCCTATCATGTGATGTTAAATTCAGCATCTCCAGTGTCCTGTTCTGAGACAGGGGCAGAAGGGGCACTTTATTTGCCTGCCCTGCAAAAGAAAGGTAGATAATCTGTTCCTCTCAGATCAAAATAAATGGATTTTTTTTTTATGGTGAGAAAGATGTCTTTGCATGGCATGCCATGGGCTGGAMTTGTGTGTGTGTTGCAGAGAGTATTCCTGTTCTAACATGTAATAGAACATGAATTCCCAGTCTCCTTTTCTGAAACAGAAGAACTGTGTAAGCACTTGTGGGGTTCTTCTGGGCTGGGGCATCACCAGTGCCTGTCCTGCAGCAGTGCCTTGGGCCCTGGAACTGTCACCAAAATGGTGTTAGGGCTGCTTGGGGTGCTTCCCTGCCCCGGGCCCCAGGTACCAAATTCACCCGGGTTGGATTTTGCTTAGAAAGCTGGGAGCTGCACTGCTCTGCACAGGGTAGCAGTATCTGAACTCCGTGGGGAGGGCTGGGATAAGAGAGGCAGGATGAAGTGCTTGGTAGGTCACTTCGCTTAAGGAAATGCTGAWTTCATTTGCCTGTTAAGGCCTTAGGGTTGCCAGGTAATGGTGATTTTCATGAGTACTCACTATGGTAACAGCCCCGTGTATGTGAAAAATTTRTACCAAAGCACTACCACCTCTTGTAGGAAACAACATTGTGTGAATGTCAACTGGAGTTACAAGAAAGGATTTATAGACGTAGAAAAAAATGAGGGACAGGAATGCCAAGCCCTAGTACTCTTCTTCATCAAGTACATACATYGAGTTGTTAATTATTACTGGAAATACAAGCCTCTGTGGCTGAAACTGTTTTTGCTGCTAAAGCTARTGATAAATTTCTAATTGTTAAACAACAGTTTTCAAAATCTCCCACAGGCATGATCGTTGTACGTGTTTCTGAAAGCAAAAAGTRAGATGATTTCTGTGGCATATCTAAAAAAATCTGAGTCAATGGTGCATCTGTTGTTAAGTGTGAGCAGTCTTGAAAGTACCACTTTGCCCTCGTTGTTACTACATAATCTATGAAATGGTTAAGAATGTAAATCTGTTAAGGACAWTAAAGATGCCCTGTTCAGGCAGCTGTGAGGGTGTTCCGTGCTGTCTTTGAAAGTGGGTCCAGTCGCCGGCAGAAGGTGGCATACTGGTGTTTGTAAGTGAGGTCATGCATGTAAACTTAAACTATAAACCTCGTTATGTATGTCCTTATAGAGAAACGAAACRATGCTTAAAATAAACAATTACAGAACTGACTTTGTAAACCACACCCGCCTGTCTGTCCGCCTGTCCATCCTTCATCGTGCACGGAGTTCGCGGTGGGAAGGGAGCGGGGG